AGAGAGAGAGAGAGAGAGAGAGAGAGAGAGAGAGAGAGAGAAAGAAGAGAGAACATGACGCTGTAGAGTGATAAAAGAGAGTAACATTGTAATATCTGGCTGTCTAACGCCCCTAATGGCGCCTTTTGTCCTGTTGACCCCATTCGTGATCCCAATGTAAAACAAGACTATCCAGGTGATTATACATTCATGGTGCAGTAAATTTTCGCTCACATTTCGTAGCACTTGACGTTAAGAAGAGAGAGCTTGAAGCTTAGCTCAGTTCTTGCGCAAGGAGAGTGTCAACCATCCAAGTAGTCTGTAGCCGCAAATGATGCCAATCATGATGCCAACCCATTTGCCAGTCTCGCCTGTCTTGTAACCATAGTTCTTGAGAACGCCGGTTCCAGCAATCAGGCATTGGTGTGCAAGCTCTGTCTCGTAAAGACATGAGCATTCACCTTGTGAGTTTGTGCCACAAGTGAAGTTACGCTTGCCAAACTCATTGACCATCATGCCTTGAAAGACGTAGGATTGGTAGTCAATGTAATGGAAGACATAGCGCCAGAACGGATTGAGGGTCTGGGGAGGCACAAGGAAACCTCCTGTGCACATCCAGAGGCCGTTGGCGAAAGCTGTACCTGCCAGGGCGACGACGAAGATGGGAATCAGGGAGCTGATCAGGACCACGAGAGACTCGGCGGCAATGAGATCCAGGAAAAGCCACATGACCCATGTGAAGAACGCCTCGGCAGTAGGTCGGAAGTTTGATAACCAATATGCCACAATGGAGAACAGCATAGAGATCAGGAACAGGTACGGTATTCCTGTAATGAAATTTGCGAGCAAAAAGGAGCTGGGACCATAGAGACCGTTGGCGCGCTCCTTGATGAACAGAGCACGATCCTCGAGGAATGCCGGAATATATGCCACAGCCATGAACGACATGAACGCACCACCGAAGAAGATGGCGTTGATGAAGGACTGGATATTACCCTGATCTGGGTTGAGACGGAGCCAAACTGTACCCATCATGACGGCGAGGCCCATGTACATTGCGATACGAATGCCATAGGCGATGATATCACGGTACGACTTGATGAACGATCTGTGGACCAAGGCCATGGGAATCGCGAATTTGCCAGCAGCCTCTTCCTTCGTGTCGGCAGTCACATCGGTATCCATGGAGTTGCGAGCCATCTCATCGGTCAGTTCGGTGACGGTGGCAGTGGCGAGTCGAGACTTGTGCCATGATGAATGCACCATGTTAAGCTGTTGATCCACTTCGCTTCGATCGCGGGCAAAATCCGTATTGACGAAGTCGATGATGAATTCTGCGGGATTCATGTAGAGTGGAATGGGAAATCCACAGGCATCGAAGTAAGGCTGTACCTCTGATACAGGACCACTGTATGCAGTCCCACCCTGGGAAAGCAGAAGGAGCTTGTCAAACATGGCAAAAGTGGAGGTTGAAGGCTGATGTATCGAGGCGATCACGATCAACTGTAGACTCGAGTCAGTAGAGGCGGAGCATGGAACAGCGCAAGTGACGTACGTTGTGCTTCTTCGCGATGTCTTTGACGAAGGAGATGACCTCGAACGAGGCGGCAGAGTCAAGACCGGACGTGGGCTCATCGAGGAAAAGTAGTTTCGGGCTGGTGATCAACTGGGCCGCGACTGAAACACGGCGCTTCTGACCACCAGAAATGCCCTTCCTAATGGGCGTTCCGATCAAGTTGTTGGCTTGGCCTTTGAGACCGAAAGCCGTGAGCAACGCTTCGATTCGCTGGATGCGCTCCAGTTTGCTGACCGTTGAGGGCAGCGACAAGCGAGCGGCAAAGTTCAAAGTTTCTCGCACAGTGAGGGAACCGACCAGGGCGTCCTCCTGCTCGACGTATGCTGAAATACGACGAAATGTTTTTGGGTTGGCCGCGGAGCCATTGATGTAGATGGCGGCCTTGACATTGGCCGCCAGTGAGTGAGTGCGATGAGCCAGTACGTTTAAAAGAGTGGACTTGCCGGAACCACTAGAGCGGCGGTGTCAGTGTGTCTGAACGCCCAGACGGACAGTTGAGCTGGAACCGAGACTTACGATGGTCCCATCAAGGCGAGCAATTCGCCAGCCTTGACAATGCCATGGATATCGGACAGGATGGTCTTGGGTTGCTGTGACTGCCTGTCCTTGACTGTGACCGTGACGCCTTTCCAGCCGAAACTGCGAATGTTGGTGTTGGTGAGCTGGGCGTAGTCGCCACCGATCATCTTCTCAATATCGGACATCTTGGAGTAGTCGCCGCGATTCCGTGGAGCCGCAAATTCCGTATTGGGGGCCACGTTGATGGTGGAGGGGCAGAATCTCTGCACAGCGGGCGTGACGAGAGATTTGAAGAACGAGAGCGCGTGTGGAGAGACCAGCTATCCAATCGTGCCGGGGTAGTGAGAGCCGTGTGCCGCCGCTTGACGGGGGGGCTGGCGTAGTGAGGACGAGCACAGGCTGCTGGTCGACCTGAGATGCGATGCACAGCAGAGCAGCGGAGGACACAGCGTAGAGCGGAGGGCGGTCGTGGCACGGACGGGCAGTGGAGTGGAACGAGTGTTGATGAGGTTGCTGCTGCTGCTGCTGCCGCCGCGCGCCGTGCGGATGGAGGAGGACGGCGAGGTGGTTTCGGTGGTGAGGGTGGTGGTGGTGGTGGTGATGATGAGGGCGGGCAGGGAACGAGAAGGAGACGAAAATGAAACAGAGCAGAGCAGCAGGCGAAGGCGGTCAGGCGAGTGCGAGGGTGGGCAATAATATGATCTGCTGCTTGACTGCACGGATATGTGGGACACGCACGGGGCCTGTGACGGTGGAGCCTTGGAGCGGGCGTTGGGGGGAGAGAGGAAAAAAAAAGGCAAGTACGGACGAGCTAAGGCTCATCTAGACGTCTGTACGACACACATACACAGCAAGCACGACACGCGCAGCCAGCCCATCGCACCTTCCCATCTTCTTCTTCCTCCTCCTCCTCCTGCTCCTGCTCCCTGAGTCCCTTGGGCACCTGCTCCTGCACGCTGCACGCTGCACGCATGGGAAAACGGCAGGAGCAGAGCAGATCGGGAAAGGGTCGGTCGGCGTGGCGTGGCGTGGCGTAGCGGCGAGGAGATGCATCATCATCATCTATCCATCATCTTCATGCTACACCAACGAACGACCGCCCTGAGATTGTATCACGACCGACAAAACAGAGACGTCGATCGTGGTTGCACTTGACTTACTCCTCCGTCGCCCCATTGAGCCTCGTGTGCGGTCGCCCTCAGGGGTCCGGCCTGACGCATCTCATCGCATTAGTTTAGCGGCGGACCCTAGCCTTCAAGCCTGCTGAATCGCCGCACTAGCAGGGCCTGCCCCTGTGCGCCACCGTTTCAGGACCAGGTCCACACGAATCAGATCCGTCGCGTCCCTGCCAAGTTCGGCGTGCTTCCATCGGCAGAATCAGGGCGGGCTTCTTCTCAAACACAACGTCTTGAGAAGGAGGAGAGTGGCCCGGGGATCAAGTGTGTGTGCCAAGTGTGTGTGTGTGTGTGTGTGTGCGGGGGGTGTGAGTTTGCGTGGGTGAGTGAATGTGTGTGTGTGTGTGTGTGTGAAGGAGTCAGTTGGAGCAGAGGAGAAAGTCTGTTCGAGACGCATGAGGCAGCCGTCAACAAGGTTGGTGTTTTGTCAGGTCGCGCGCCTCGTCGTCGACTCGTCGTCGTGGTCCTTTTACTACTGCAGGACCCTGGTGGCGAGGGCAGCCCTCCATATAGCAGTAATGTCCTCCGAAACGGACACTTGGGGAGGCAGAGAGAGCATGAGAGAGAGAGAGAGAGAGATGACTTGTGTCGAGTGTCGAGCGACAGGCAGGCATCTCGCTGCTCGACAGTCGACACAAACCTGCCTGTCCGTTTTTACAATAATAGCAGCAATGACAGCCGTGCACGTGATACAGTCGAAGGACGATGCGGTCGACAACCTAACGCAATGTGCCGCTGTCGCGCAATTCTTGAGACTTGCGGCTTCCCCGCGGGAGATCCAGGATGTGACGACGAAATTTGGTTCACGAGTGGGAGTGGGTGCCTAGGAGGGACTGTAGGTGGGTAGGGTAGTGGGTGAAGAGTTGCCACGCCTTCGCCGTTTGCGCGCGCAACTGCAGGTCAAACCAGGCCGGCCATTCGATTGCTCCGGGTTCTGGCCACGCTGTCCGCTGCCCGCTGGTCCTTTCCGGACACGAACTCGCACTAAAGCACACAGGCCGGCCGTCGAGAGAGAGCTTAGGCGAGTCGGCGGAGAGATGAGGTCGACCCGCGCAGGGATGCGGCAGTGATTGTCTGGAACCGAGCTCACCAGCGTCTCGGCGATCAACAACAAGGGTGAAGCGACCACACATTGAGCGTGTATCTTATTAGTGTATGTACGATTGTACGTACTGTGCAAGATTCCGCGAATAACCAGTTTGTTCGATTCATGTCCGACAGACAAAGCTGTTTCGTGAGAACCTTGCTCCTGACCCAGGCACCGGCCAAGACATTAGCGCGCGCTGACGATCAGCGACCTAGGAGGTATGACCATGAGATGTTGGGAGGTAGGTTGGTGATGATTTGGGGGCCAGGCCAGTCTCCCAGGGACGCCGTGGACGCGAACATGTCACACGCATAGGAGAGCTGACGGCCATATGGCAAAGGCAGGCCAATGTGAGATTGTGTGTATCACAGCAGTCCACCCAAGGCATCATCATCATCATCATAACCACCATCATCATTACCATCATCATCACCGTCCAGCAACAGCAGCAGCAGCAGCAGCAGCAGCAGGCCCTCCCAAAAGGGCCCCCACCACTTGACTCTTGGTCAAGTGGCACAACGGAAGACTGACTACCATCCGCACGGGTCGTATCCTGCGAGTCTGCGAGTCTGCGAGAGCCATGATGACTTGTCGACTGCCAGTTGCCGGGATCTCGCTGCGTGGACCAGGACTGTAACTGTGCCTACTGCCTACTGCCTGCGACTGTGACTGTGACTGTGACAGTTCAGGGTATTCCGAAGTTACGATTGATCTCCCCATCCCTGCCCAGCCCAGCCTGGTTTCGCAGGAGCAGATTCGCTTCGTGCCACAAGTAACAGGTTGTTATAACTTGTGAGAGCAGTAAACTCTATACGTATCGAGCACAGTCTTCGATTCGGTGCGTTGCCGCTTGCGGACTTGGGCACGTCCTCGTCCTGCTGGGTATGCTCGGCACAGGACAGATCGATTATTATAGTCTGGCTATTTTGCTCTCAGGAGGCATCGTCGCGACTCTAGTGCGTCCGTTGGAACGGGTAGTGCACGGCCGCTATCCACTAGTGGAGGGCATCATCCCAAAGCACCGCTGCCGCTGGTCCAATGGGGCGGGAATTCGCTTTTTCACTGCTGCGGTTTAGTTATACGTCTACTACACTCTATCCTACGCCTTCGGCACCTGGACCTGTCTGTTCTGCCTCCCTGCTCGCAATCGACGCACCCCAGTCTGTCTGCATCACCGTACGGCCCCTTCACTCGCTCAATCCACATCAGCACACCCACCGTGACATCGAGCTGGGCTCTCATTCCCTGTCGTTTGCACTGCATTCGTACTACTAATAAAACAACAATTCCCCATTCGTTTGGACGAGCAACGCCACCGCCTCACCTGGACTTGCGAGCCTGCTGTTGGTAATCTGTCATCTGGCGTGTGTGAGTCTACATCACCCTGACCAGTGCCTGGCGATCGATTGCCCCCAGAGAGAGAGATAGAGAGAGAGAGAGGGAGCAATCCGGCCATGGACATCGACAGACATATGCGAGACGCTGCTTCGCCTGCCCGAAGTGCCGCTTCGCCACGACGTGTTCATGCTTCTGGTGGCCCGCGATCACCGCGGAAGTCACCACTCACATCTCACTTCACGGCCAGTCAGCACCACGTCAATTCGTCGGCAGAGGATGTGTCAACGACGAGTGATTCGGGCAACGAAGAGCGCGATTATCAGACCGACTTCACGACACCAGAGTCGTCGGATGCGTGCCTGGACGACATGCAACCCGACGATGTCGAGGACTTCAGAGATCGCGAATATCCTCAACTCAAGGGCAAGACTTATTTGGATCATGGAGGAACCACTGTATGTGCCGATTGCGTGGCGTCGAGAGATCTCAGTGCACTGCTGACTGTTGGGGCAGCTTTACGCCAAGTCTTTGATAGAGGACTTCTCTGCGGACCTGATTGCCAATCTCTATGGCAATCCTCACTCAGCATCGACTCCCTCCGCCATTGCCGGTCACCGGGTCGATACTATACGGGAGCGCACTCTTCGATTCTTCAATGCTGATCCCGAGGAGTTTGATCTCGTATTCGTGTCCAATGCTACGGCCGCCATCAAGCTCGTGATTGATTGCTTCAGGGACCACGCTGCTGCAAGCAACACACCAGTCTGGTATGGGTATCACAGAGATGCGCATACGTCACTGGTCGGCGTACGAGAATCGACCAAGATGCACCGCTGTTTCACGAGCGACGAGGAAGTGGACATTTGGATCAACAGCGGTGGGCTGGGTGGCCCGCGGGCTCGACAGCTCGGCCTCTTCGCATATCCCGGACAGTCCAACATGACGGGGCGACGACTTCCACTGAGCTGGTAGGTGATTCTTGTTGCTTGACTTGGCTAATACGCATGGAAATCGCACGCTGACTTGACTTCAGGCCGGGCCGTATACGGAAATCTTTCCACAAAGCTGTCACGTATACGCTGTTAGATGCAGCTGCGCTTGCGACCACCTCACCTCTCGACCTCGCTGACCCTGCTACGGCGCCTGATTTTGTCGCACTATCGTTTTACAAGATCTTCGGATTTCCCAACATCGGCGCGTTGATCGTACGAAAGGACTCGGCGCATGTGCTCGAAAATCGGCGATTCTTTGGTGGTGGCACCGTTGAAATGGTAGTGTCGATCAACGACACATGGCACGCCAAGAAAGACACCTCGATCCACGACCGTCTCGAAGATGGCACTCTCCCTTTCCACTCCATTTTTGCACTGGACCACGCTATGAATGTACACCAGCGGCTCTATGGACCTAACCCGATGAAATTCATCTCTCATCATACTGCACAACTGGGCAAACGTTTGTACGACGGCTTATCACAAATGAGACATACGAATGGCCTGCCCGTGTGTCGCATTTACAAGGACGACAATGCCATCTATGGCGATCCCAGTGTGCAGGGAGCGACGGTGGCATTCAATGTGCAACGTGCGGACGGGAGCTTGGTGGGGTTCGAGGACGTGGAGGAGGCGGCTGACGAGCGGAATATCTTTGTCCGCAGTGGCTCCCTCTGCAATCCCGGTGGCGTCGCGACGTACCTCAACTGGGCACCAGCAGAGATGAAAGCTGCTTTTGCGGCAGGCCACCGGTGCTCCAATCCCACGCAAGTGATGTTGGGCAAGCCGACCGGAGTGGTTCGGGTCAGTCTGGGTGCTATGAGCACCGCATCCGATGTGAATATCCTCCTCCGGTTTCTGGAAGAGGTCTATGTTGCTGCCAGAGGTGACGAGCGGGCCAATACGGCGGCCGCTGCAGGTTCTGTGCCGACCGCGGAGTCAGGGCAGCAGCCTCCCAAACTCAGCATACCCCAGAACGTGGGCGTGCCCACCACGCCCAGCACCGCCGCGAGCAGTACTGGCAGTGAAGTCGGCTGGGATGCGGCTGATGCCATCATGCCACAGGCACAAAGCACCGATCGCCCTCGAGCGCCGCCCTTTATTCCCGCCGACTACGTGAAGCTACGGAAACCGTGGGAGGAGGAAATGCGCAAGCAGCAGAACCCCAATTTCTCCGCCATGGAGATCAAAGTGCGAGAGCTGGAAGACGCCAGCATGTTCTCGCGCAATGCCACGTCGAGCGTGAAAGCTCGCAAGTTTGGTCGAAGTGTGGTCAACCTGCTGCGCACGAAAAGCCATGCTCCCGACCTACGGCAACACGAAGCACAAGAAACCCACGCCCGTTGATGAAGCGTAGGCACATGATGGGACTTGTTTTTCCTGCCCAGACCAATCCCTTTCCTTGTTCTTCTTGTTCTTGTTGTTATTGTTGTTATTGTTGTTGTTGTTCTCTTTGTTCTCCTTCTGGCAGCAGCGGCATGGCGTTGAAGGCGAAGTATGATGGACATTACCCTTAGTATTATTGTTTACGAGATACCGACCGCAGTTCTAGCACTCATGTTCACATGTGGAGGAGGGGGAACCACATCAAAAAGAGGGTGCGCATTTGGAAAGGGCGAGGCGCAAGATCAGTTGTAGCATTTGTGTACATGATCAGTAATCAAAAGAATCCATGCCAGCACGGGTAGAGGTGCAAAACAGTATTCCTACCTCCTAAGGTAGCTTGTGAGTTGTGACTTCCTGCACCGAATGGAGGCCGGGAGTCGCATACAGGTCCCCACCAGACCCGACGTCTGGGAAACAGGCGGACCAGGTCTCCGGTAAGGCTTCTCATGTATGTACAGGGCCGGACAGAGATGGACAGTTCTTGATTTTGATTAAGGTAGTACTTGACCTTGGCTACAATATAAGGTATCTTAGTGACAGTGGGTCAGAGGAAGTGGGTCAGGTAGTGGAGAGGAAGTCAGGTAAGGTACATAAGGTCATGTAGTAGAGACTAGGACTAGGTAGAGAGAGTGGGTACTGTAGTGGGTACTTTTAGCCCTTGGTACTGCAACGCCCACGTCGTACCGGAATAAGGCAAGTTACCTACCTAGGTAGGTACCTCCTAAGTCTTGATAAATTGATAATTACCTAATTTTCATCAGATGTCGACCCACCTTCCGTGACCTCCGAATGACCGAATCCGATGTCCAAACGGCCCTACCTCCTACTCTCCCCGAGCTCCACATCAATGCCCCCTCAGGTAGGTAACATTAGGGTGTTAGATACCTAGATTTCATTGACTCAGGAGGCAGAGGCAGGTGTCGGTGATAGTAGTCGCAGGCAGGACTGCAATGTGAATGCACTCACTGCCCAATGTGTTTGTTGTCGTCCATCATCCGATGTGTTGGTTGTTGGTTCATGGTGATGGTGCCACGATCGAGGCAGATCTCTGTACAAAACACCCGATGCGTACCTAGTTGCGTACATGTATATCAGATGCGTTTCTCGCAACACCATCACGAGCACCTCACGCTCTTGCTAGGAGGTAGCAGACTGAAGTGGCGACTTGCAGGCAGCAGACGGCTGAGAGCCTGAGGCAGTAATGAAAGTGATACCTTAGGTATTGCAAAGTGAAGAGGACATGAAAAGTGAAGAGGACATACCCCCACATTGCTTGGCAACTTGTAGGCAGCAGATGGCTGAGAGCCTGAGGCAGTAATTAAAGTGATAGCTCAGATACATGTACGAAGTACCTATTGCAAAGTGAAGAGGACATACCCCCACATTGCTTGGCCCAATCACAAGCTGGACCCTGAATTCACAGAACGTGACAGTGACACTTTGGGCTGGGTAAAAAAAAAAAATCACATTCACCGCTTCACCGCTGCCAAGTTCATGTAATTCCCATCAACCACCACCACCACCACCACCTACTTCCACACCAGCAACAACAACATGGACGCTCAGTTCGTGTCGCTGCTGCAGGCGCTGCTGGAGCCCGATACCGCCAAGGTCAAGAGTGCCACCTCCCAGCTCAACCAGAACTTCTACAAGCAGCCCGAATCCGTCGTCGCCCTGCTCAACATCGTGATCAATCACCCGCAGCCCGAGCTCCGCCAGCTGGCATCGGTCGAGGTGCGCAAGCTGGTGGGCAAGCACTGGAATGCCATCAACGAGGCCCAGAAACCTCAGCTCCGCACCCAGCTGCTCCAGAGCACCACCGACGAACAACAGCAGCTCGCGCGTCATAGCAAAGCCCGTGTCATTGCCGCTATTGCCAAAGTTGACCTGGAAGATGGCCAGTGGGCCGATCTTCCCGCAATTCTGCAGCAGGCTGCCACCAGCAGCACCGCTCGTCACCGCGAGGTGGGCGTGTACATCATCTACACCCTCCTCGAAACCATGCCCGATGTATTCCAGGAAAACCTGGCCCAGATGCTCACCTTGTTTAACCGCACCATTCAAGATCCCGAATCGGTCGATGTACGCGTCAACACCATGCTGGCTCTGTCAGAGCTGGCAATGGTGCTTGATACGGAGGAGGATACCGCTAGTCTGAAGAGCTTTCAAGCCACCGTCCCGCACATGGTCAAGGTCCTACAGAGCACCATTCAGGAGGAGGATGAAGAACATACCATGCAGGCTTTCGATGTCTTCAACAAGCTCCTGAGCTACGAGAGTGCCTTCCTCAACGCTCACTTTGGAGAACTGCTGCAGTTTTTCATGCAGGTGTCAGCCAAGTCCGAAATCGATGACGAGGTCCGTTCTCAGGCCATTTCTTTCTTGATGCAGGCTGTTCGATACCGCAAGCTCAAGGTTCAGAGTCTGAAGGTTGGTGAGCACATGACCAAGATGTGCTTGCAGATTGCTACAGAGCTGGACGAACAGCCGGATGAAGACGATGAAATCTCGCCTGCACGATCAGCTCTCGGCCTCTTGGACATCCTGAGTGAGAGCTTGCCGCCAAGTCAGGTTGCCGTGCCTCTTTTGAAGGCGATTGGCCCCTTTGTGCAGGATAGCCGTCCAGAGTACAGACGAGCTGGCATTCTCGCGCTGGGCATGTGTGTGGAGGGTGCACCCGACTTTATCGCCACGCAATTGAAGGAGATTCTTCCCCTTGTGCTGCATCTGCTGGAGGACCCTGCCACGACGGTCCGTAGCGCTGCGCTGAACGGTGTCTCACGGCTAGCCGACGACCTGGCAGAAGACATGGGCAAAGAGCACGCCAAGCTGATTCCCGCGCTCATTCGCAACTTCGACATGGCTTTGCAAGGCATGCGAAACTCACCGAAAGACAGCGAGGAGCACGATCTGAATACGCACATTGTCAAAGCCAGTGCCATGGCTGTCGACTCCCTGATCGAAGGATTGGAGGCCGAAGATGCCGCCAAGTATGTCAACGAGCTCATGCCGAGGTTTGCTATGCTTCTGGAGCATGACGATCACAAGGTGCAAATGGCTGCCGTCAGCGCTATTGGTAGCATTGCTAGCGCATCAGAAGGCGCATTTCAACCTTACTTCGAACAGACCATGCAGACCCTTGGCAAATACATCGAGATCAAGGCCAGTGAAGAAGAGCTTGAGCTGCGAAGCATGGTCATTGATTCGCTGGGAAAGATCGCCAGCGCCGTGGGCCCAGAAGCCTTCCAGCAGTTCGTGAGGCCGCTCATGCACGCCAGCGAAGAAGGCTTGCATTTGGACAATCAGAGACTCAAAGAGACCAGTTTCATCCTGTGGAGCACGCTGGCACGAGTGTATGAAGAAAACTTTGAACCTTTCCTCGACGGAGTCGTCAACTCTTTGTTTGCCTGTCTGGATCAGGAAGAGACCGACGCAGAAATCCAATTGGGTGCCGAGGCTTCGGATCTCATTGGACAAGAAATCACCATTGCTGGCAAGAAGATCAAGGTTGCCGGTGCCAATGGCCACAATGAGGGCGACATCGATGACATCGATGAGGATGAACTGATCAAGGCAATGGAGGAGGCTGAAGACGACGACGACGATGACTGGGACGATTTGGGCGCAGTCACTGCTGTTGCCATGGAGAAGGAGATTGCTGTCGAAGTGCTCGGCGACGTTCTCACCCACTCCAAGGGCAAGTTCCTCCCATACATGCAGAAGACCATCGAAACGACGCTTCCGCTTCTGGAACATACCTTCGAGGGTGTTCGTAAGAGCGCCATCAGCACACTTTGGCGTGCATTCGCCTGCCTTTGGGGCTTAGCAGAGGATGGCGGGATGCAGAAATGGCAACCAGGAGTACCATTGAAGGTGAAGCCAACTGCGGATCTTGAGAAGCTCGGCGACCTCGTCATGCGAGGGACGTTGTCTGTGTGGGAAGAAGAGCTTGACCGGTAAGTCGAGTATTTGTTGGTTCGGACGTTGTAAGAGCTACTACTGACCATAATGCAGTGCCACTGTGACTGAGATCAATCGCAACCTCGCCGCAACACTCAAGCTCTGCGGTCCTGCAGTCCTCGCTCCCCCGACCAACCCGAGTCAATCGACACCACTGGAGCAAGTGACCGCTGCTGTGATGCTGATCCTGCAACGCAGCCACCCTTGCCAGAAAGACGAAGACGAGATCGATGAGCCGGCCGTGCTTGAGGGCGAGAGCGCAGAATATGACTGGTTGGTCATCGAGACTGCCATGGAAGTCGTGACCGCCCTCGCCACTGCCCTCGGTCCACAATTCAGCGAGCTTTGGAAGATATTTGAATCGCCCATTGTCAAGTACTGCTCTTCACAGGAGCGCTTTGAACGCTCCGCCGCTGTCGGCACCATGGGCGAATGCATCGAAGCCATGGGCGCCGGTTGCACACCATACACTTCGCGCATGTTTAAGCTGTTGCTGAAGCGTCTCAGCGATGAAGATCCAGAAGCCAAAAGCAATGCTGCCTATGGCATGGGTCTGCTGTGCCTCCACAGCACAGACGCCAAGGAGATCCTGCCCAACTACAACACGATCCTGGGGCTATTGGAACCTTTGCTGCACAAGAACAACGGCGCGAGCGAGTCGGAAGCTCGTCTACTCGACAATGCTGCGGGATGCGTGAGTCGCATGATCAAAAAGTCACCAGACAGTGTGCCTCTCGACCAGGCTTTGCCACATCTGGTGGACCTCCTACCATTGAAAGAAGACTTTCGTGAGAATGAGCCCGTGTTCGACATGATCATCAGCCTCTACCAGGCTCAGAACCCCGTTATTCAGAGCCTCACCAGCAAGCTCCTGCCGATCTTTGAGCAGGTCCAGCAACCACCCGAGGACCAGATCAGTGAAGACATTAGGAACAAGCTGACGGAACTGACGCAGTACATTCGAAGTCAGTAAGTCAGCTACTATTGTGCAAGGCTTACAAAGCAGTATGGATAGAAATCGCATAGCGTGGCAAGTAGGAGATACCCAAAATAAAGAGTTTGCTTGGGTTGGAGTCAACCTAGGAAAGCGAGTATTGAAGAAAAGGCATATGATTTCACAATGTGCAGCAGTGTTATTGTTGTTGTTTGTTGTTCCTGTAAACTGAAAGTGGATCATCATTCCCCTGCCTCTTTTCCACACCTTCACACAGGGGCTGGACTCATGTCGTCTACCTTGGCGGTACAGTTTCTGTCAGTAACCTTGTGCTGCTTCGCCCACCCAAAGGCCGTTTGCCATTGACATTGAGTATGCCGGTGTCCTGCCGCTGACCATCCGTCCCATGAAGCGAGACGTCCACCTTGCGACGTTTCGTGAGGGCTGTCTGTTCTCCATACTGATGGTATTCCTCGTTATCATCTTCCGCTTCGCCATCCGCGTCAGCATCATGATTGGGTGTGTCGTCGTCGTCATTTGCACCGACCACCACTCCCGGGTTGGGCGGCGTCTCGTAGGATATCGACGAGACCTCTCGGTGAGTGTCGGGCAGCGCTGTCGTTGTTGCACGTGGCAGCCGCCCACCAATATTCCATACACTACCATTCAGCAACATGTCATCGCGCAGGTTATTCCTGGTGGACTCGGTATACACTCCTTGCTGCGGCGGGATAGCAGCTTGCCACAATCGCGATGGCCTCGTGGATGCGCGAATCGTCGATCGCCACTTGGCTATTAAATCTTCCGCGTTGTAGTTGGCTGCCGCTGCGCCTGAAGTCGAATCCGAGCTCTTTACTTCCTTCATGACTGCGGGTGAGATGGGTATGGTGTTCGGAGGATGCGTCAAGAATTCCAAGGGCAACTGACAGCGTGATAAGCGGTCGTATTCAGCCTCCAAGTGGCGATTGTGCTGCTCCAAGCGATCGAGGTCCGATCGTAGCTGGCTGTTTCGTTCCTGGGAGCGCGTGAATGACCGCAAACACTCCAATTGCCAGGCGACTACACGTTCCTGCTCCGCCATGGAGTTCCAGTGCTCCCAGGCACCTGATAAGTGGGCATGATGCTTGAAGGCCACAGCGTCTGGGACAGGGTCACGTTGCTGACGCCGCTCATTCAGTAACCTGGCCATGGTCGTGAACTGTCCGAGTCCGGGAGGGTCGAGAGTCCACGAATCCGCAGAGGGAAAAGGGTTCGCACTGAACAAAGTGCTGGGAGGGGGCAGAATGGCAAGACAGAGGCCTGGAAAGGAGAGCGAGAAGAAGTCGAAATCATCAAAGAGGAGTTTTGGCTCCATTTTCTTCGCAGCAGCCGCCAGGCTGCCCAGTACCTCACGCAAAGCCATCTCTGCAGCACGACCCATCTCTGCCGACTCCTGCAGTTTCCACATGCTTTCGCTGCTCTCGTGATCGGGCCGTTGGGATCTCGTGCCTGCACTGTCCCGGAGCATATCCTGTATGCGCTGTGCTTGGGCCCCTGCTGCTGCTGCTGCCGCCGCCTTGGGAGATGGACACCGCGAGGAAGCTCGCGGCGGCAGGTTGTTGATCACTCCAGTGGCCTGCCAATGGGCCTTGTTCGGGAAAAAGGCCGTCCCAGGTCCATCTTTGGCGTGTCCGGGGAAGTTGATGGGCGCATCCTGCTCTGCGTGCGCCAGCGAACGCATAGGAGAGTCGTCGTCGGCGCGTTGCGCACTCTGCACTCCACCAGCGCTTCCCTGGCGCGAATGGCTCTGTTCCCGGCCATTGCTGGCGCCTCTTATGCGACTGCCACTGCCACTGCCGCTGCCACCACCTCCCGCCCGACCACCGGTTCTTGGCTGGCGGCGCGTAATGCCACCGCGCAGTTTTCTGATCTCGTCGACATCGTGCACGCCATCAGCGGGCTTGGGATTCTTGGGGCGAATGTACAGGTCGAGGTGTCGGCCGAGGCTGGACGAGGTGAAGGCCTGTCCGCAGAAGGGACAGGAACGATCCTTGGTAGCAAGGGCGCTCTTGGAGTTGCTGTTCTGCGCCGTGTTCGCATTCGAGTTGGGCGTCGATGGCGAATTTCCGTGGTTGGCAGTCTGATCGTCGTTCGCTTCTCCGGCTGTCGCAGTCATCTTGCTGGTGCGAACCCGCGCCGCCGTTCATGTTATTATGCTTTGCTATGCCATGCTATGCTTTGTGTGCATAAGCTCGGGGACCCCCCCTCCACCCCCCTTTACACCGCCTGTAAAGCCGCATTATCGACGTGACTTTCTAACCCGAGTTGGGCGCTTCGACTTGGCGTACTCTCCAGTTACGAGTATGCCTACAGGTACCTGTCGGTCACATGCACTGAAGTATGGAATGTTGAAGAAATGATGAAGTGCCCCCATTTGTCAAGGAGAAGTGTGTTTCGGTGAGATGAATTTGAGCAAGCTTTCACATCATCCACGACAACGTGCACAAGGGGTCTTGGAGCAACAGAGATAGAATACAGTAGTGAAAGTGTTTCGTAACATGATCATTATTTTGATTAGGTCCCTGCTAGACATATTATCTGAGCATCCTTCAAGCACAGCACCCTTACGGTAGAACCATTGGCAGGCATTGCCTTCTCCACTCGATGAATGCCGTCACGAGCGGAATGGTCAACCTTTGTCAGACTTGGCATTCTCCTAGACTGTGGACTGAGGAGCGGCGGCACTTGTTGATGTCTCTGGCACTGCGGTTTCACCAACCGGAGCAGTCATCTGCTGCGGCGCGTGTGCATCCGCAGTTTCACTTCCATCGCCAATCGGGGTACCAGTCGGGCTCTCGTCGTTCCCTGGCAATTCAGTCGAGGTCTGTCCGGCAACGCTAGCAATGATGCTATGCCACTTTCGGGCATCGTCGGGTGTATGAGCTTTAAACGCAAACTCATGCGATCGGGACATTTTAGACAACATGGCGTTGCCACTGCTATCTTTGCCCCGAACGTTGAACTTGACGCCATCCACAGCCCCTATCATGCAATCGGGCAGGTACAACGAGTTCTCCGGGGTCGGATCCTTCGCAAAATCGTCATCGGTCTTGAACTCATGCAAATACTTTGAGGGAGTGACCACGTAGAAGCCAGCATCGTAACGCTTCAGCATCTTCTTGCGCTCCAACGAACCAGCAATAAGCGGACGTGTGGATGCGTGGTCGGCATTGGCAAACTAGATACATGTCGTCAGTCATCAGACCATTGCGTGGAAGTTACGTAGCTCACCTTGATATTCTCCACTGCACGCTTTGGGCCATTCGGATCGATGAGCAGACCAACGTTCCTCTTCACGAAACCATTCCACTCAAAGTCCTGCGGGACGCGTTGAACCTGCGCTTGGTCAGACAAATGCACAACCAGAGATCCAGATGACGGCATCTACATACTGTACCTGTCATGTCTCCATACAAGGCCCGTGTGGTTTCCGCTTGTGAAGTCACCACTTGGTTGAACTGTTGCCAGCCATGCTGCACGGTTGCAACGATGTGGGCCTCAAATTGAGCAAAGCTGTTCTGCACGGAGAGCATGTCATCCCTGTTATTGTTCTCCTCGATGACCTAGAATAGCATCAATTTTGTCAGATAGCTTCCTAATAGAAGGGAAAAGCACAAGTCTGCTGAGAACGTACCTGTTTGTTGAGACGATGGTAAATTTGTCGCTGCAGAGTATATGGATCGTCAGCAGCCTTGACGTTGCCGCCGGAAGAATCAAAGGTAGCAGTGTGTTGTCCTAGCAGCTCAATATGCTTCTGCGAGGCGTGTCGTGCCTTTTCCACGGACTTGGCGCCCTTGCCAGCGCCTTTGGTAAGCTCCTTGGTCTTGTTCTTGATCTCTTTCTCGAGGCGGTCAAAGATGGGCAACACCGTGCCCTTCAAGGTCTTTGCTGTCTCGGTATGACTGTTCTCCAGGGCCTGAGTGTTCGATCTCACATTGTCGAACATGCCTGCAATGCCACCGAGAGTCTGGTCGAAATGGTGACCCTCCTTTAAAGGACTTGACACTGTTTTCAGCACCTTGGCGACGTCCTTGGAGTTGTCATGGTGCATTTTCTCCGTGGCAGAGATGTAGTCTTCCATGTTCTTCACGGCGTGTCGCCATGCCTGCAGCCTCTCGTGGAACAGCTGAGAAGTCTCGGAGCTGTCCTCATCGGGGATTGCATCGTCATCCATGGTGCTGGTGGTGCGAGCGGTGGCGGTGGTAGCGGAGCGGGAGGGTAACGTGTGCTGTGCAGCGGTGGGAGAAGCCATAGTACGATTCGTGTTGATCTTGGTGTCTACCTATGGGTAAAATCTGCGTGGTCTAGAAGAAGATGGAGGAGGGTGAGGTATATCATATAGAGATGTCGTACCCAACTGTTAGGTACATGTGCACTGGGCAGTACAGGTACATCTCCTGTTTAAGCTTTGCCGTGACGTCGCCCCATGGTCCATGTGCCTCTCGACCTCCTGTCCGGTGTCCGCACGATCGGTCAGTGGTCACAGGTGCCAGCCGACAACCTGGGACAACACACACGGATAGATTTGGCATAGTAGTGGTGTCTCAAGCCCGCCTTTTGCGTGAATTACCGTAGCAGGTAGGTGTGTACTGTGCGATTGTTTCGGACAGCATATTACCTTAGCAGGTAGTGGTACCAACTGTAAATATCAATATCATCTCACGAGTCACGACGGTCGACCTCCTTCTTTTGGAGTTCGCGTTTGTTTATTGACTTAGGGATACAGTCACTACGTGACTACAGTAGTAGTACAGTCTAGGAGGTACAGTGTGGATGTGATATAATTGATATTGGCATGCCGCATATAATGATACCTTATTTTCATATCAGGTACAATGCTTAAAAGTTAAGAGGCTAGGAGGTAGCATCTGCACCGCCATGATTTCCATCTCTCAGTGATCTCACCTCTATCGCACAATCGCATATCCGCTTCCCACCGCCATCTGTGCCTTGTGCACGCATCCATGCCCTGCCCTGCCCTGCCATGATCCTACGACCAGAATTCCAGCTTGAGGTCCAGCACGGGCACATCCATGATATCTCAGGTCTCTGTCCCGTGATGTCATGGCTGTCAACTTCCTGTTCACAGATCCAGCCATCGCAATTGAATAGGAGGTATGATGAAGACACGATGGAACCTACTACCTCCGTACCTCCTAATATTAGCTACAATACAGGCCTCCTGCCTCCAGACCTCCTAGGTATCTCCGAAAAAGGCTCGGGCCAGTTGGCCAGCTGGTAGATCTACACGCGATGTCATTGTACATGTAGCGTGCTCCGATCCGTGTGGCAGACGGTGGCTTACTTCATGTACCTACGCACACACACACGCACACACGCACGCTCACGCACACACACGCACACACACACACACACACACACATACCCGATATTGACCTCCTCCACGTACTACCGTGTGCTCTGGCACTAGGTACTTGCTACGCTGCTGACTGGCCCTTTTCGCCTCAGCCGCTGCGTAAGGTACAGGTAGTTAAGGTGGGTAAGGACCGTAAGGAGTTATCATTCTTCTCTTCTCCTATTTGGCGCTTCGTGGTGGCGCGACTCCCTCCACAGGTGAGTCCCATCCGTATCGGGCCTTATCTCGCCCTGTTACGAAAAATTTACCGTTGCTTTTCGCGCTCTGCTAGTATCTACCTCCACGCGACGACTGATCTACCACTGGCTTGTGGCGATCCACGGTGAGGGGCGCCCAGAAATATGCGTGCTGTTGTCGTGGGGTTTGCTGGCAGACGGCCATCCTCACTGCGAACAGTTCTTTTGCTGGCCGACAACGGCGGATCTGGTCATGAATCACCATATTCCCGAGGAATACACGCCCGACCTTTCGCAAATCACAACTTTTCTGCTACTTACCACTCACCAGAACTCACTGTGGCATCCATTGCTCCCGCCACCATGTCTACCCGCCGCTCCTTCAGTTCGTCGACCGCAGCGCGCACTCTGAACATCAACAACATCAATCCGCACGTCAAGGAGGCCAAGTATGCCGTGCGTGGCGAGCTTGCCATCAAGAGTGAGCAGTATCGCACGCAGCTGGCCAAGGGCGAAGGCAGCAGCCTGCCCTTCGATTCGGTCATCAGCGCCAACATCGGCAACCCGCAGCAGCTGGACCAGAAGCCCATCACCTTTTTCCGCCAGGTGGCCAGCTTGGTCGAGAACCCACTGCTTCTCGAGCACGGCGATGTATTGCAAAAGAGCCTGGGCTACAAGAGCGATGCCATTGATCGCGCGAAGAAGCTGCTGAAGGACGTGAAGAGCGTGGGTGCATACTCCCAGTCTCAAGGGGCCCCAGGCATTCGCAAGAGTGTTGCCGACTTCATCGAGAGGCGCGATGGCTATTCCGCAGATCCAGACAACATCTACCTGTGCGCTGGCGCTAGCGCTGGCGTCAATGCGCTCATGAACGTAATGCTCGACGGCCCCAAGACTGGCGTGCTGGTTCCCATTCCGCAGTACCCACTGTACACTGCCACCCTCAGTCTCCTCGATGGCCAGGCTGTTCCATACTACTTGAACGAGGAGTCACAGTGGAGTACTGATGTTGACGGCATGCGCTCAGCACTTAAGGAGGCCCGCAAGAACGGTATTGATGTGCGAGCCGTCGTGGTCATCAATCCCGGGAATCCAACTGGCGGTTCTCTAGATGCAGACAACATCAAGTCAGTGCTGCAACTCGCTGCGGATGAGAAGCTGGTCGTACTTGCGGATGAGGTTTACCAGACAAATGTGTTCGAAGGTGAATTTACGAGCTTCAAGAAATGCTTGCGCGAACTCCAAGAAAGCAAGCTGAACGAGAATGCCAAATTTGATTGCCTTGAGCTGGCCAGCTTGCACAGTGTCAGCAAAGGCATGGTTGGAGAGTGCGGCCACCGTGGTGGCTACTACGAGATGGTTGGCTTTGATCCAGAAGTGCGCACCCCGAGTTTCCCGAGAATGCGCGTGTTCAGTACTGATGATATGTTCACAGGTGGTGGCGCAGATTTACAAATTTGTGAGCATTATGCTCTGTCCGCCAGTGGTTGGTCAATGCATTGTGGAGATGATGGTCAACCCCCCAAAGGAGGGCGAGCCATCTTACGACCTGTACCGCCACGAGTACGACGCAATCTACAACAACCTCTACGAACGAGCGCAGGCACTGTACAAGGCTTTCAAAGAGATGGAAGGGGTTGAGTGCCAGTCTCCACAAGGGAGCATGTATCTCTACCCAACCATCAACTTGCCGCAAAAGGCTCACGAAGCGGCGAAGAAAGCCGGCAAGAACCCTGACGACTTCTACTGTCTTGAGCTGCTTGATGCTACCGGCGTGTGCATTGTGCCAGGCTCGGGCTTCGGACAACGAGAAGGCACTCTGCACTTCCGGACGACCTTCCTGGCTCCTGGCACCGACTGGGTTTCCCGCATTACAGCATTCCACAGTGGCTTCATGGACAAGTATCGGTGAGCATCGTCCACGATCGACTACCACAAGGACGACACATGTGGATGGCGCTGTCACACGCAGCTCGTTCGCATGATGAATGTGATCGCAGGTATTTCTGCACCCAGGCACTGTGGAGGCCGAAGGCACAATGGAGAGTTGTGAGGGATTAGCGAAATAACGTAACGCGCATATGAATGCAATGAAATTCCCATGGCGCAGCACCCGTGTACATGTCACATTTATTTCACACCGATCCATATCATTGACTTTGTCCTCGATCACATGGGTGGAAGCAGCATATATACGCGAATCAATAACGATTGAAAGCACCACAGGTAATGAATGATTTCGGAACGAAGCCCTCCTAACTTTCCCAAGTGGGCAACTTGTTCGGTACCTCGAGCTAGGTACCTACCGTACCAATAGAATCATGACACCTTGCCCGGCTTGGAAGCTAGTATGCACCTCAACTTAACCTGTACCTCCTCTCCACTACATTTTGGCATGATTTTGGGCGCATCTTTGTCGAGGAAGCTACCTTACCTTACCCACCCAGGTACATTACCTTCCATACCTCCCTTCGAAATTCCGCCAATCCCACCTGCTGCTCCACGCTCTCACCATCAACACCACCATCACCATCACCATCACCGTCACCGCCACCGCCACCGTTACCGCCATTGTCGCTCCTCCAACTCGCCGTCGCCGTCGTCGTCGCCGTCACCGTCGCCATCACCATCACCGTCGATTCGACCTACTGCACGCGCATGAACGTCTAACCGATTATTCCGCCTCGCAACGATCAATCGCCTCCCCAATATTGTCTACTCCCACTCGGTATCCTGATACAGTATGGCCACTACCACGAACGGCAACAGCAATGCCGCTACTGAAGGCATGAGCGCGGCGGAGCGCCTGATGCAGGCCCACAATGTCACCATTGAAGACGCAGTTGACGAGGACCTGCCTGTTCCCGCCGCGAGCTCCTCGGACGCCGCCTCTGGCGCTGTCTCTGGCTCTGAGCCCAGCAGTAACGGCACCGGCATTAAAGCTGCGGGCAAGCAGCCTGTCCGTGATGCGCCTGCGCCTGCCGCCAGTTCTAACAGGCCTGCACTGGACACTCAATCTGAAGAGTTGTTCCCATCATTGGGTGCTTCCAAGGCGCCGACCACAGGCTCAAGCATGTGGTCCAAGAAGCCTGCCGCTATCGGTAAAGCTAATGGTACTGCAACTGCCGGAAAACCAGTGAATGCAGCTTCCCGCTCCGCAGCCCCCAGCGCTGGGTTCCAGAGCGGATCTGGCCTTGTGAACCTCCCTGGTCGAAACAGCGAGAGCATCGTGCTTCCCTTGTCCGAGATGAAGCCACGCAAGGAGCTGAAGAAGCCCGTGGCGGACATCCTTCGCGACATAAACAAACGTAGCAAAGCTTCGGTTGTGATGAAACCTGGTACGAATGGTGCCTTCGTCTTTGAGGGCACGGGACCCATCGACGCTGTGCGGTCGGCTCTGAAGGAAGTTGCGGGTGAATTATATGCTAAGGTAAGCAGAAAACATCCTTGGGCCCAACCGTGCGCGCTGATTCCCTTTAGAAATCCGAAAAAGTACCCGTGCCCATGAGTGTCCGTGGTAGGATCGTGGGGAAGCAGGGTGCCACCATCCAGGCTATTTCCAAGAGAAGTGGTGCTCGTATCAATATTTCGAAGCAGGAGGCAGCGGAAATCCTCGAGGATGATGACATGGATGCCTCCGTGGATGTAATGATCGAAGGCGACCCCATGTCCGTCAGTCTGGCGAAGCAAGAGATTGAAAAGATCGTGAACGAGCATTCATCCTCTGTCAGCTCACGTCTTCGGAACGTACCACCGGAGTACTACCCTTTCCTTGCTGCGCGGGACAACCAGCGTCTCCACGATCTGCAGCAAGGTCGCGACCTCAGAATCAACATCCCACAATACCATGTCTGGAAAGATTCTTTGCCAGACGCTTCCGTCGATCGCCAGCCTGCGGCCTTTAAGCCCCAGACGGGACTACCGATCCAGCTCGCTGGAGATCGATATGCAATCGCTGAGGCCAAGGCAGAGATTGAGCGACAGGTGCGAGAGCTGGAGCAAAAGCTCACCCTGGAGCACATTTCTGTAGAGAAAGGTAGGCACCAGTTCATCGTCGGTGAAAAGGGCAAGGCCTTGCACGACTTCCTACAGGAAACTGGCTGTTCCGTGATACTGCCACCGGACGGGAATGACAGTGAGACCCTCGCCGTTATTGGTCCGGCGGACAAGATCGAAGAAGCCACGAACAGAGTGTTGGAACTTGCGTCGAGCATGGCTATGGCTAGTGCTGATATTGCACGAGCTCACTCTGGCGCACCGAGGGGCGCAAATGTACACGCCCGTGAAATCACGCGATACTTGCAGCAACGCAGTGCTTTGCAAGATCTAGAGCGTGTCCACGACGCTCGCATAGTGCCTGACAGCACGGGTGCCTGGCAGATTTACGCTCGTGATGGTAAGAACGCCATCAAAGCTCGTGCCGACATCATGAACCTCGTCGCTGGACATCCACCCAGCCGCTTCCAATCAGTTCAGGTTGACCCATTTTACCATCAGCACATCCGAGAAAACGCGGCGCCACAAATTCGAGAAAGGCACGGAGTTCGAGTAGTGATGCCTAATGAGCTGAGCGATGAGCCTGTGCTTCTGGTCTTCGAGGGTCGTGTGCCTTCACCTGACTACCAGTTACCACGTGGAGTTCCGCAGGCACAACAGGTACAGGCTTTTGGACAGGCCCTGCAGCAGGCCCAGCAGGAAATCGATGCTCTTCTCAAGGGAAGACCTGACATCGTGTCCAGGCAGGTGGACGCTCCAGCCAAGTTCCACGACAAGATCAGACGGCACATTGATCAACATCATCAGGGACTCGCTGCCGGCCAACTTCCTGTTCAAGTCTCATATGGTGGTCAACGTCAGGCGGAGACGAGACGCACTCCAGAACCCAATCTAGATCTGCGCGGACCAGCAGACTCCGTCGAGACTCTTCTGGCCAGTCTTCTTCCCTTCATTGAGCAGGAGCATAAGGATGAATTAGAGCGTGACTTTAAGCTTAGCTTCGAGTTTCCACAAAAGCATGCCAACCACTTGATTGGGCGCAAGGGCGAACACATCAACGGGCTCCGCGAGAAATTTGATGTCGACATACAGCTCAATGATGGACAGTGCGAAATCAAAGGCCCACAGGCCAAGGCAAATCTATGCAAGAGCCACATACTTGGCTTGGTCAAGAAGCTCGACGACGAAAAGACCCATCATCTCAACATTCCTCAAGAATTCCACAAAGACCTCATTGGGGCACAGGGAAGTCAGGTGAATCGTCTCCAGGAAAGATATGGTGTTCGAGTGCAATTTCCCAGGAACAAGCTGGGAACTGAGGATGAGCCGGCGGTGACAGAAGGGACTAACCGTCGCGAGACTCAAAAGGCTTACGAAGTCATTGTCAAGGGCCCTAGCAAAGGCGCAGACGGTTGCAGAGAGGAACTGCTTAGCCTGCTGGAATATGTCAAGGATAATTCCCACAGTGCTGTCGTGTCAGTCGCCCAGAATCAATTGCCGTCACTGATCGGCGCAGGCGGTAAAGAAATGGACGCCTTGCGTCTAGAGACTGGCGCTCAGATCGACGTGCCGAGTGCAAGGGACGCTGCTGGTCCAGAGGGCCGTGTCGACATCAAGATCAGAGGGTCGAAGAGGGCAGTTGATGAGGCAAAGAAGTTGGTCCAGGAGAAAGCCAAAGTTTTCGACAACACTGTGACCCGGGTCCTGGACGTCGAGCGGAGGCATCATCGTCACATAATTGGGCCACAGGGAAGCCACTTGCGAAACCTGATTGTACAGGCTGGTGGACCGGAAGACACACGTCTTCACAACCGCATGATTCGCTTTCCAAAGAGCGACGCCGAGGGCAATGAAATTCGGGTAGAAGGCCAGAAGGCGGTGGTAGACAAGATTTGCGCCGCGATTCAGGCAGTGGTTGCTGAACACGAGTCGCAGACTACGGAGATCCTTGAAGTCAAGCCCGACAAGCACCGACTACTCATTGGACGCGGCGGTGAGACGCGACGGCACATGGAGCAACAATTCAACGTGTCGATCAATATTCCTCGGCAGAGTGAAACTGGACCGCAGCGCTCTCAGGTGCGCATTACAGGCCAGCCGGCAGAGGTGCAAAAGGCGAAAGAACACATTGTCGAAATTACAAAGGACCTCGAGGGCGAAACGGTCGGTGTGCCCCGGAAACTCCACCACATCATCGCAGACAATGGGCAGTTCTTTCGTCGTTTGAGAAACGACCACAAAGTCACAGTCGACCACGATGGCCAACGGCCGCCCCCGAAGCAGGCGATGCCGGCGCCTAGCCGCGCGAATGGAGCAGGTGCTATGCCCCTGATCACCGACGAGCCCTCGGACGCTGCCAATAGCCACTCGTGGGAAGCGCACGATCTTCACGGGTCTTCTGAGGAAGGAGAGATTCCGTGGGTATTGTCGGGACCTTCGCCAGAGGCGGTACAGGCTGCTCGTGCGAAGCTAGATGCTGCAATGGCAGAAGCGAGTAAGCAGGACACGATCGGTTTCCTGATTTTGCCCGACCCTCGAGCATACCGCCATGTGATTGGACCAGGTGGCAGCGAAATCAACCGCATTCGCAAGAAGACGGGCACCAAGATCCAAGTGCCGCGCGACCAAAGTGCCGGCGAGGCGATTGAGATCCAGGGCTCGAAAGAAGGCGTGCACCAGGCAAAGGAGAGCATATTGGAAGTTGTGCAGATGAACGCATAGAACAGCGGGTATCCTCGGTACCGACATCGTTGAAGGAGAATGTGAGCATGATTTCAGCTCCACGAAAAAGCTTGCCAATGTATATATCTCGCTGCAATACTACTTAACGTCTTGTTGAGGTGAATTTGGCCTCGACTCTGTACATGTACTAGGAGGTAGTACATGTAGTTTTCCCTTTCCGCACGTGCTGTCCCGCCTCGAGGAGTCACGTGGTCCACGCAACCCGCGATTCAGGCTCTCGCTGTCTTGGCATAGTGCACGATGGTGACGATCGACAGTTCTTTTTCTACAGACACCGTCCGTCCTGGCTGAACACAGTGCGGCCATGGCAAAGCGCAAACGAGACGACGGAGATGGAGCAGGAGATGACGCCGGCACTGGCGCTGGAGCTGGAGCTGGAGCTGGAGATGCAGATGCGCCCAATTTCCGGCGGCAGCGACAGATCATGGCTGCATATGTGCAAGGCGCTCAACAGCTGGAAAAGGCCTTCAAGCTGGCACGTGGCTTCGAGCGACAGAAGCTGGGCCGTCGCAGAAAGAATGCGCTCGCAGAAGCAAAGGTGAAAGAGGCAAAGGGAAATGCGGACACCATGGCAAAGAGGTCAATAGAGGATGAGGTAGCTCGCATTGACGCAGAGGTGGCTGCGCTCAAGACGCTGGATACGACGCGGTCGGCACACAACTTCCTGGCCAAGTCGCTGCTCAAGATCAAGGCTGTGCAGGTAGCACCCGATCTTCCTGCCGACATCAGCTCCCCAAAGCCTGTGTCGTCCGACTCCGCCATGCTGAACGTGCACGCACGACTATGTAACTCGAATCCCGTCAAAGCTGCTCTACCGGCTGCTGCTGCTGCTGTCAAGAGCGAGTTCGGTTTAGTGCCAAACGGCCAAGATGTGTATGCGGCGAAGAGAGCTGGCGTGCATTCTGCAGACGTAACCAAGGACGATGGATCTGAGAGCAATGACAATGACGGCGGAGACGACGAAGTCGACCACGACACAGGTGACGGTTCGGATGTGGACATTGCAGACCTAGAGCGGCAGCTGGAGCAGGAAGGAGTGACGCGCAGCAGGCCGGGCAAAAATCACGAGCCCACAAAACTATTCTTGCCTACTTTAACAATGGCTGGCTACGTGTCTGGAAGCGGATCCGATCTGGACGACGACGATGTCCACAACACAAAACCGGCGAAGAACCGGCGTGGTCAGCGAGCACGTCAAGCTATCTGGGAGAAGAAGTATGGCAAGAGAGCAAAGCACGTTCAAGAGCAGGCTACAAAGCAGGGCCGCGACGCCAAACGTGGTGCCGCCTCCTTCAGCAAATTTGCCAAAGATGCAAATGCAGCACCGCTGGGGAAGCAGAGACCTGAGCTCGGACTGATCAAGAGCGCCGAAAGGTCCAAGCGGTCCCGAGATGACACTGGACCTCTGCACCCCAGTTGGGAGGCTGCTAAACGAGCCAAAGAGAAGAAGATCGAGAAGATTGAATTCGCGGGCAAAAAGATCGTCTTCGACTGAGCTATCAAGGATTTATATACTGGTCTTGCAGCTTTTCATTAGCGTAGCTGACGGCCCTGTTGCTGCGTAGGAATTGTCATGTGGCAGACTCCGGCTCTCCCTCTGGTACTAGAGGGCATTCTCTGCAAGTGAGTTACGGTGGAAGATCATCTCCTTTGTTCCCTGCCGCAGCCTGCTGAATTCATTTCCAGGATTATCTGCTCAGCCCTGCGAAAACATCTGGTCTCTGGCCAAGTCGCACCATCATCCCCTGCATCACGCAGGCGGTCTGCTAATATGCGTCCACGATCATATGGGTCAATCCGATGTATGGCTGCACTAATAAAGCAGTCTGCGGGGTGGTCGTTCAATCGATCATAAGCTTCCCACACGATCTCGCAAGAACTCTACGGCACTGCTGCCACAGCGCAGAGTGGAACCAGTAGGCGTTTTGGCCAAGATACTGCTTCTTAAAAAGGGGCAAACCTGAGGTTGCTGAGTGCAACATCTGGACACCAAGAAGTATTGCCACTTGCATCCGTGCATCGATCGACGCTGCATCTTCTGAACTGTCATCCGAAATGCTCAATCAATTGCGCCGGATGCACTCAAACTCTCAGAGATCTAACGTGGAATCTGTCATAGACCGCCACTTTCGAAAGTCTTGCAATATCACGCCATCGTTGTACTTCGGGTATCTGTCACTATTGATGGGAGGATGCTTTCCACTGGAATCAACTGTGTTTCCACTGAGTACTTGTATCAGCGCGACAGGCGCGCCACTAGAGTTTGGCTGTGCGCTCCTGATGGGTCGTGTAAGTGTGTAGGCGCTGGGAGGCAGTGTGCACATTTACCTCTTGTAGCCGTAGGGCTAAAATCAGTCACAGAATGTGTCTTTCCCTGCGATGATACAATTGGGCCGTGTGAGACTGCATACGCAGGCGTATTGGTCACAAAGTATAGCATCCGGTGGGCAGACGCTCGTCTACAGAACTAGATATGAGCACAGAAGACTTAGAATGCAGTTCCATTGCTTACGCATAAGACCAACAGGGCATTGGCGCGTGGCGAGCGTTCCAGGTTCTGTTTCCCGCCTGCTACCCATCGAGGTCCGGCTGCTGGAATTATCTCGATCTTCCACCACCAATGTCCTGGCCCAACTGCAAACGTGTTAACTGATGCCGGAGACGGTAGAGACACTTAGTTGATCACATACCCTGTAGCCGCCGATCTTTTCCCACTCAACCCGCTGCCGCGTGACAGGTAGTTGCCGCCTCAAGCCTTTGAAGCTGCCCTCGGCCAGGGCGGTAAATGATCGATTGAGGTTCTCTTGAAACTTGTTCTCTGCTTTTGATATCTCTCGCACGATGCTATCTCCACTGCCCGAGGCAACGTGCACCTCGCTCTGTTTTGAGGTCGACATGCGGACATTACCGTCTTCGTAGTAGTGCACATCTGCCTTGACAGTCCCGCGCAGTGTGCCAGAGGCAGGTGTGTAGATGTAGGTGCTGCGCCAGCGGCCATTCCAGAAGTTCTGTGGACTGTATTTGTTGGCGACAAGCACGAGAGCAACAGCGGCATCGTCGTCGGCGGGGTAGACGCCAATGGCAGAGGAGGGAAAGTGCTCGGCGGCGGCAGCGTCGAGCGCCTTGAGCAGCGAGCGAATGAGGTCCGCATTGGCAGATTCGAGCGGATACTGCTGCGTACCAGACGCGTGATAGGAGGCATGGTCGACGGCGAAGGACGTCTGGCTGGCGGTGTCGAAGTAGCGGCCGTCGGGCAGGGCGTTGTAGGGCGTGAGGGGAATGTTGCTGCCGCCACTGCTGCCGGGCAGCGTGACGGTCATGTACTGCTCCTCGTTGTACTGAGCAAAGGCCGGTTCGAGCGAGGCGAGGATGCTGGGCTCGTGGCCTGCCAGCACTTTGATATCATTAACCACATTGGCAAGCTACATCACCGCCTTCATCAGCACACGCGACGGCAACACCACGAGCGGCCGCTTCCTACCAACCTCTCCTGGTGGCGCCGATTCGATAAATGCTGCCACAGTGGCTGCTTTGGCGGTGCTGGCCATCTTGCGCTCGTATTAACTGGGTGTCGACGTCCAAATAATCATCGAAGTCAGGGCAGGTAATGTAGGTAGGGTAGGTACATTATGTACAATACATGTAAGGCACGGCACGTACCCGATGTAGGTAGACGCCAAGTTCACCGTTGATCACACGAACGTCACAATGAAACACGCGTGGAGTAACAGTTCGGTTGTGGTCGTGAGGTTGCTGATACAGGACAGGTACATGTATGTGCGCACTATTCGCACCGATTCCATTTCATCTACATAGATATGATACACTGGCAGCCATACAGCCAAACTGTTCGATGAACCTCCTAACCCGCGGGCATGCATGCATGTTCCAAGTGTGTGTGTGCATGACGCAGCCTTCACTCGATGCTCATTTTCATGAGCTCATCTCTGGTGTCAGCCATGGGCTGCAAACCCAGCTTCTTGCCCTGGCTGACCAAGTTGCCTGTGCCACCTCCTCCAACGCCGCCTCGAGCGCCTTGGGCTAGAGTTCCTGATTCACTGCTGACAGAGGCCGTTTTGTGCGTCTTCTCCGGCGGTTGACCCCAGCCAGCACTGCCATCGCGGGTCGAGGGCGAGTTGGTTAGCACAGGGCTGTTCTGCGCAGTGCTCATTCCTGGCGATACAGCTCGGCGTTTGATGGTTCCAATGTCGAAGTCGTCTTCGCGTGGTCGCTTCTTGAACTTTTGAAGGTGCATATCATCGCTGAGCACCGCGCCTGCCACACCGGCGCTGTTCGACAGAATCGCTTCTGAAGCATCAGAAGCAGACGAGCGCGCCCGTGGACGACGCCATGTGGTGAAATCCCCAAAGGGTGAGTCCATATTCGTGTCCGACATGGCGCTGCTGCTCTGCCTGTTGAACATCACGGGTGGCGGGGTGCGCGTTAATGGATCAAATCGTTGCCAGTACTCCAACCCACCGCTGTTTCGGCTCGCATGATCAGAAAAGGTTGCACCTAGTCCCAACCATCGAGTGCTGGTTGTATCGCTGTCCAGGTCTCGACCAAAATCTTCCTGTGCGCACTCGGGCACAGCTGGAAGTAGGTTTGGCGACGAAGCTGCCGTTGAGCTCAAAGGTCGGTCGTGATGCCCATCCAGCTCGCCAACGCTGTTGTCACGCTCGCGTACCTGTCGAATTGTTTCAGCTTCTCGCCTCGACTCAGAATCAACTGGAGCTGCCTCTTCGATGAGAGCCGCTCGAATACGGGCAAAGCCCTTGGTCTTAGGCAAGAGATTGCCTCGACGTACTACTGGTCGACGGACCACACCCGGGGTTGCAGGCGCAGTGGAGGTTGCCTCGTCTCCACTGTCGTTGCCGCTAGAGAGCTGGAGGCCATCAGTGCCCATGGCCAGGCTTTCACGTCGACTCCGCGCGGCATTCGTCATATTCAAGAAATTCCCACTACCAGTTGTCTCTATACTGCTCATGGGTGGTGGCGAAATGTTACGAGGTGATGCTACCGAGTTGTACCCACTTCCACTGGCACTGCTGGAGCTTTTTCGGCTCCTACCTTTGACAGTCTTATGCAATCGCGTACGTCTGATGGTTTTGAGCAGAGAAGCTTGAGCTGGCGAGAAGTGACTGCCAGTTCCCCAGGTTGGAGCAGTTGGCGTCAGAGGGGTATAGGTCGACTGCTGGAAAGGCGTTGGTGCGAAGGCATTCTGCAGTTTGTGCACCTGTGGCGTGGAGAATGCTGGATCTTCGACCTCATCTCCACCCATGCTTGCGTCGCCATCACTCTCCGAGGTTTCACTGCCCGAACCCATCATGTGTGCGCTGCCTACCGAGCTGCCCACAGTACTCTTCTCATGCGCCTGAGCAAGAGAGCCCCACGGCGTCGAGCCAAACGCTGCGAGACTGGGTGAGTCAAGAGCCATGGCGCCAGATGACAGCCGGCGCGCAGGTATGGGCATGGCCTTGTGCGAGATGACCGGCGAAGAGTCGGGACTGCTCTCGGCCAGCGTGGAGTGGTGTAGGGTGGTACACGCGCGACTGAAGTCCAGACCGCGAGAGTGTCGCGGAATGGCAGGCGAGTGCGGTGGCACTGGAGGCAGCGAGACAGCAGACGTCGGTGGTGGAAGTTGCAAGGTCAAGCGTGAGACCAGGTCGGGTGGTCGCCGTGGTGTAGTAGGGACCATGGAAACATCGCGCCCTGCGTCCGCCTCGTGCTTGCCATTCTGGACCATTGCAGCCCGGTCATCCGCTGGTGTGTCAAGGTGCGGCTCATTCTCGTTTGCGCCCAACTCGTGCGTGTCGTGCAGAGAATTCATCCCGTATCGCTTCCATGAGGCGAGGAGGAGGAGGAGGAGGAGGAGGAGGAGGAGGAGGTGGTGGTGGTGGTGGTGGTGGTGGCCTGATGGCAGGGTGCTCCGCTCTCGTCCGGAACAGTCTTGACCACTACCTCCTAGCGTCAGTGGGGTATTTGCTCTCGTGACGGCGGGGGGCTATTGCTCGTGGTGGCCAGCCACGTGCTATGTTCCACTTTCTGTGCACACGTTGCTCCGAGATGTTCTTGTAACATACAACGATAGGTACCTCCTAGGAGTTGCCGTGTAAGTCATTCTCGCGCCTGGTCCGTCCTCGGCGCGATCGCGTGAACTAGAACTACGTCAGCGGGCCGGAAACTCTCGTCCACAATGAACACGGCAGTGTGGATTTATGATGGAGAGATGCAACTCTCTATACACGTGCAGGCTACCGGAGATACCTATGAGTAGGAGCTATATGTATGTTGATGGCTGAGTATGAGCGAAGATAATGACAGTGCACCGACAACAACGAACAGCACTCAGTTGCTCCGACCGCAGATTTCAGCCGCGCGATCCACGTCTGCCCAAGTCGCCTCCCAGATATTGAGCACTTCTAGTCTCCACTTCTCATGTTCATGGCGCTTCATCTTCACGATAGCCCGACAAAGACGCCCCGAAGGTGATGTGGTCAAGAAAGCCCGACTATCGAGGTCCCAGAGATGGGCTTGGTTGTAGAGCTCGAACGTGCCCTCCAAGATGGGAGGCTTATCGTGATAGATGTCGGCGAAGACGAAGTGCTGTTTGCGGCCAGGCGGCTGCTCTCTCCACGATGAGGTGACACGGGCATATAGCTCAATGACAACACTGCTGTTGGTTCGCACAGCTCGACTTCCAGTGTTGAGCGCTTCTCCAAGCCGGAAACACGTACGCAGAAGTGTAGCCTTTGATGCGCCAGCGATGGACGATCTGTCAAGAATGGGCAATGGGCAGGTCCGGCGCACGATAGGCTTGCGGACTTGCGAGGCATCTGGCTTATGCTGATCTGTTGCCACAGCCGTCAATTGTGATTCACCCATTCGACATGCACGTGATAATTGCAGATCTTACCAAGAAAGCGTCTCTCTGCGCTGGAGAGGAGTGCGCCTCCGTAGTCTTCATACTCATCCACGTCACGCATATTTTGCTTGTGGCTCCGTGGAGGCGGAGTCAGTATACGTTGGGTGCTTTCTTCTTCGGACTCCACCACCAAGTCGGCCAACGCTGCCTCGTCAAGTGCGTCGGCGAGCGTAGGTACATCGGCATCAAAGATACTTTGGGTGCGCAGCATTTCGGGCTTCTCCGATTCTGGCAACGGAGTGCTGGTGCCTTTTCCTGCCAACTCTAGCATGGAATCCGGCATTGCAAAGGACTCTGTTGTATCTGAGTGCATGATATGGCTTGCATGCTTACCATTTGGACCATGAACGAACAATGTGTTCCTCCGTGTCTCGTCGTCCACTTTGGCTTTGCTCCACAAAAGATGAGTAGACTCGCCTCTGGCAAAGGTGTTCGGGACATCTAAGTCTCTGCCTTCGGCCTCGTGAATAAAACTATCAGTAGTTTCAGTCGACACTGGTGGCAGAAGAGGCGTGGAGAAGTCCACTGCACTTTGTACAATGGTACTCGACATAGTGTGGTAGAGCGTGCAACCCCGGCCTCCGCCAGCCTTGACAACGTCGAGAGATGTGCGCATCGATGTTGAATCGAGAACGTCCATGGAAGTCGTGGGTGCGTAGACAGAGACTGCATTGACTTCCACTTGATTCGACCGAGAACTTGCATCTGCTGGTTCGGCAGCAGCGGAGCTCACCTTGTTCCTCTTTCGCACCGATTTGGTCGACTGGCGGGTCGAGCTCTGCTCACGTCTCACGGGCTGATTTGAAAGATGCGCGGTCTTTTGCCGAGCAGCTTGGTCAACCGGCGCAGTGGCAGTGACAGTGCTGTTCGATCTGCGACGCTTCGAATGCCGCGGCTGCGATTCAACGGAGACATATTTCTTCTTCTGACTCTTCGCAGCCGTGCGGAGCAGGTGAGCAGCCACAGCAGGCAGCCTCTCTTCAGCACGTTCGCTGGGTCCCAGGTATTCGGTGTTTCGTCGAGGGTCCTGCGGAGGCGAACCCGTTGCTGCGCCGACTGCGCCCAGAAGCGGCCGTTCAGGCACGGGTGCTCTGTTGATGGCAGTGAAGCCGGCCATGACGATGGGAGGTCGGAAGGAGGGATTGAAGGACGTGAGTCGAGACTGGAGGAGAGGTGATCAGGTACTTACCGGCACAGGTAGATACCTGAATGTACCGTACCACCTAGGTAGGGCAGGTACATGTAGTTAGTGATGTGGTCACGCGAGGATGCAAGTGCAGCCGGATGACCCTTTCCTCGCCCGCGTGGGGCTCCTGCCTTACCAAAGTTACCTCCTACCTCTACCACCACCTACCTCTCTAGGCTCCAGGCTCCAGTGGAGAACTTCAGAGTGCATCTACACTCCTACATATACCTCATTTTGACCTCCGGCGCCCTTCTGAGAGACTATATCACGGTAGACTGACCGCTGGCGAGTGCAAGTCGTCGAGGCGCCGACCACAAGAATGTTCAGTGGCTCGGTGAGTGCAATCAATCGCCTCTTGGTGCCAAGAAACCCGTTGTGGTCCCCGACTGTCGCGCATTCTGAATATCCGGGTTGAGACTGGCCATGTATACCTATCTGGGGTGGCGACGATGAGGGCTGGTGGGTTTCCATGTCTTGTCGTGCGGTGAGCGCTGACGTGAGACGACATTGCAGCGCAAGCCATACTCGGCAATCACGGTCCAGGTCGATCGCTTGACAAGTGAGCAGTGCGAAGAGGACGATGTCAGTGGCATCGTGGACCTCATCGAAGTGATTCGTATCCAGAGCGGCGGTCCGACAGAGGCAGCTCGAGCATTACGAAAAAAGCTGTGAGTACATGTACTGCAAGCAACCTGCGCCGGGGCGGGTTCCAGCTGATTGCCGCAGTAAATACGGCAATCCTCATCGACAGGTCCGGTCATTGGTGATTCTCGATGGCCTCATTCAAAATGCGGGCGGAAGATTTCAAAGAACGTTCGCGGACGAGCCGTTGCTCGAGCGATTGCGTCTCATGGCCCGCGACGACACCGTCGATCCACACGTGCGACAGAAGTGCAAGGTCCTCTTTGTCCAATGGGCCAACGCGTACAAAAATACCACAGGCCTAGAGCGGATCGCCAATCTATATAAGGAATTCCCCAAAACACAGAGGCCCGTCGTTGCACGCCAGAAAGTACTGAAAGATACAGAGCCTCCCGAATCTCCCTTCGCGGAGAAGGAAACGCGGTCACGATCAAATTCACAACAGAAACCCGTTCAATCGAGCTCTACTCGACCGCTAAACCTGACTTCCAGCTCCCATAGCTTTTCTTCGAAGCTTTTCAAGGAGAAGAAGGCTGGGCCGCAGAAGGCCTTCAATCTGAGCAGGGAGAAAGAAGGCATGACCAACGCCCTTGCGCAGGCCTCTATGGCTTCGACCAACCTACTGAACGCATTGCAATTGATCAATCGTGAGACTGAGCGCATTTCGGAGAACGCGGAGGTTGTGAGGCGTCTCGAAACATGCAAAGCCCTCAGACGCAAAATTCTATACTACATACAGCATGTGGAATCTGACGATTGGATTGGCAGCTTGGTCAATGCGAACGATGAGCTCGTGAAGGCTCTCACCGCGTACGAAATCATGGATAGGAGTATCGATGATGATAGTGATAGCGATGCTTGGGAGGCGGCGGGGAACTCCGCTGGCCCCATCACCGGCCCTATGGCTAGCACTGAGCAACAGCTGGCTGGGCTCTCCATGTCAGATGAAGCCGCTCCTACGAAGCCTGCTAGATCGACGATGAAGATGCCCATGCCACCACCACCGCCACCACCACCACAACCAGTCCCTGCGAAAACGACGGGTGGCTCGTATGACGACGAAGATCATGATGAGGACGACGATCCCTTTGGGGACGCAAATGCTGTACAGACACCAACGATTGAGCGCTCGGGCCTGACATGGAAGGAAGTGTGATGGAGATGTACATGACATTGAAATCATATGTCTAATTTGTGTTGGACAGCTCTTAGCAGTCGTCTGAAGTAAATACATTATACATGTAGTTTTACAAGCGCGGATTTCAAGGCCGGCAACTGCATGTCTGTGTGCACGAGGCAAAGTGGTATCCATGGATCGTACCTTATGCTTGCTGCCTTTATGATGCTTCGCGTCTCAGCTTCCAATGTGGTCTACAGTTTGCGATATGGCCCTGGTCTGTACCTCCTAGGTAGGAGGTACCCATATTGAGTTCTCGCAGCCGCTGCCAACCTACACTGCCTGATTGTATCACGTGGTGTAATGACGTGGTCAAAAGTGGCGTTGCTACCAAGGCAGGCACGAGAACTTGGAAGATTTCACAAGTACAGGTATCATAGATATAACAATACAGGCAGTGCAGCTACCGTACCTTGTTGATCGTCTGACCACTTCACCTCGACATCATACCCAACAGTTCACAGCAGATACACACCCGTCCATCACCACCAGCACTACCATCACCACCAGCATCACATCGCAGCTTCGCTCCAATTTCTGGCAAATACCGTGCCTACTATTCCGGCCCCGCATCCATTTGCACCCAATCAGCGACAACGATGCCTCCATCAACAACGTCAGCGACCTCATCGAGCACATCCAGCGCGACCAAAGGCATTAAAGGGCCGGTCAAATGTTGGTGCGGCGACGATTGCCAGTGCTGTCTGATTCCTTGTGTACGTGGCCAGCGAAAGACCTCACTCATCCTCTTCTCGTTGTGATTTTGGATCGACTGATATTGAGCGCTACAGACTGTCATGTAAAGCACCGATCAGAGACAGAGAGACACAGGGAGAAGGGGGAGACACAGAGAGAGAGAGGAGGTCTGGGAGGATTTGATTGGCCGACGGGAGTCATTCCAGCACGATGCTCACGTGGTATTAATTCATGGGGGGTATCACATGCGTTGACAATGCTGCTACGTGCTCCATATTCCGTTTGCTCCACTCCCGCCAAGCCATGTCATGACTTCAATACACATACCTATCTTACCTATACATCACGCGAACGCTCAACAGAAACGGCTACTTTATGCAGCCCGTAATGGTACACTGTACGTGCCTTGGCCGAGTCCTAGTCTGCCACTCCATCGCCGTTGATCGGCCTGAAAGTCTTCGTTGAGCTCGATCAATTGCTCTGTCTGGATGCGGAGGCTCTCCAGGGTACCCTCGAGGGTTAAGCCATTATGAGCATCGCTATCACCCATCATCATGCCAGGCAGCATGTCCTCGTCCGGGCTTGGCGAGCGGAAAGGATCGGCGAGCGAGCCCTGAGACTGGGTGCCCGCCAAGCCCGCCGCGCTGCTGGCTCCCTGCTGCAAGGCTATAAACTCATCGTGATGATTGCGAAGCGCAGAGCGGAGAATGGCGTTGTCCTCTCGCAATCTCTCGATTTCCTGAGCTGGTGTCCAATGCGCGTCAAGCGAAGAATGTACCGGATGGCGCGCTTCTGATCCCTCGGACTCACTGTCCGACATCTCGCAAGACCTTTCAGGGCGGTTGACAAACACATGGGAGAGGCTTTGCGGAGTTTGTGATGCTTGATTTTGATAATTGGCTGACCGCAGAGTCGCAATCGCAGCTTCGTGCTGCGTCCGCAGTGTTTCCAGCGCTTCTTCGTGTTGTCGTGCGTGCTCCTCGGCCGCCTTGCCCGCCTCCTTGATCGCCGCAGCTTCGACTTGGGCGACATGAGCCGCGTGAGCCTCGACAATTTCCTGCATTTCATTCATGTGCTCACTAGTCATCGCACGAAGGGCCCGGTCATGGTCATGCTTCAAAGTCGTCTCCGTCTGGGAGACGGCCGCGGCCTCGACTTCCGCAATCTTGACTGCATGTCCCACTTCGGCCTCGAGCATCTGGCGGGCATGAGCATCCGACATGTTCGAGATGGCGTTTTCATGCTCTTCCTTGAGCTCTGCCAGTGATATTTGCAAGCTTGTCCGCACGATCTCTGACTGTTTTGAATGCTCCTCGATCCTTCGCAGCTCCGTCATTGCCTTCTCATGCTCAACGCGCATGGCGCCAATAGTTCCCAGGAGATCTTCGCGAATGCTGATATACTTTCGGGCCTCGTCTGCCACGATCTGATGCTCGCCCTCCTTGAATCGGGCGAAGCTTTCCCGCAGCTCTTCATAGGCAGCCTCGTGCGTCGCCCTTTGTTGCTCCAGCTCCTGATGGTGCTCCATCTGCAAGTCTTGGAGCTTCTTTGTAAGGCTGGCGCCGTTTTGTACAACGGCCTCATACTCTTCTCGATCGACGCTTGTAGAAAGTTTCTGCCGAAGCTGCTCAGTCAACTCCTCATGTAGCGTTTCCTTGCGGCGTGCTTCCTCTTCGAAGTGCTCCGTCAGGCGAGTCAATTCGCTTGCATGAGTCGTGTCCTTCTCTGTGTCTTGTCGAGAGAAAGTATCGAGACGCTTTTGTAGAGTAGAAAGTTCGCTCTGAGCACTGGAGAGTGAGTTTTCGGCAGCCGCTTGGGACGACCGGGCTTCCTGCAACTCAGAAAGCAGCTCAGCAGAACGACTTTTGTTCTGGTCGGATTCCCGTTGCAAGTCATCGTATAGAGACTGTAGTATTTGATATTGATCGACTTGATGGCTAATTTGGTCGCGAGCACTGTTCGCATCCCGTAGCTGGTGCTGCAGAGCTTGTAGCTCGTTTTGTAGACCTTCAATAGTTGCGTTTGAACTGGCAGACTCGTCCGCAGCCGTGAGCTTACCATCCTCAATGGTCTGTTGAACTTCACGGACGCTGCACTGCAGTGTTTCGATGACACGTTGGAGTTCAGCTTCGTCACGCTGCTTTTCCACACGAATGCGCGAGGATTCCTCCTTCGCAGCTCGCAGCTCGTCTTCTTGCTGCAGTCTCATGCTTTCAAATCCCTTTCGATCATGGTCCCTTGTGCTAATCGCGTCGTCCAATTGCTGCTGGAGCTCAATGGTCTTGCTTTGTAGAGTTTCCAGTGTGGTGGCAAGCTTCGCTGTGTCTGCGTCGTTTTGCGACTGCAGGCGAACGATCTCGCGTTCACTCTCCTGAACCTTGCTGTTGAGAGACTCAATGATACCCTGTAACCGGGACGTCTCCTGCTCATGCTTGGCTTTAAGGTCCTCGTTGAGTTGCTGAGATTTCAGAACCTCTCCTTGAAGCTGCTCCGCTACGACTTGAGCGGCTTTGTCGTCATGCGAAACAACTGCGAGCTGGGCCTGGAGGCTCTCTATAAGTCTTGTTTGTTGTTCACTTGATTGGCGATGTTGCTCCAGCTCTGCCTCACGAAGCTCCTTCAGCTCATTAAGCTCACTGCGTACACTCTTTGTGGCCTCGTCTGCCTCGTCCATACGTCGCGTATACGATTGCAGCTGGAGAGAGTGCTGCTGCTGCAGTTGCTCCATGTCGGCCTCCAGTGCTTTGACAGTACTGGCTGAGCCTTCGAGGGCCAACGATGTTCGCTGCGAAGCCTCTTCATCGTTGACTCTGAGTATTGCTACCTCCTCTTGCAATCGTTTGCTGGTCCGTTCTGCATCTGCCGCCGCTGCCCGGAGTTCCTCTGTCTGCTGGTGTGATCGTTCTTGCACTTCTTTCATCTCGTTGTCGAACCGCTCCTGACTTTCAACCAGTTCGGCGGACAGCTTTTCTGCCTTATCTGCTGCGGCTTCACTACGCTGGCGTTCCTCGTCCAGCTCTCGACGAAGTTCGGCCGTGAGCTTTTCTGCTTTCTCCGCCGCGGCATCACTACGCTGACGTTCCTCATTCAGCTCTCGACGAAGCTCGCCGTCCTTTTGCACCTGCGCTTGGCTGTCCTCGTCCAGTTTCATTTGACAACGGTCGATCTCTTGCTTCAACTCTTCCACGACCTTGGCAAGAGAGTCCCGATCTTGCGACTTTTCGATCAGTTCCTGCTGTAACTCTTGCTCGTTTTGTGAGGCACGCTGTTTGCTCTGTCGCAGGGCCTCCTCGACGGCCTCGATCTTGACCTCCACACCTTCGAGTGAAGAAGATCGTCGGCGCTGACTCTCCAGATGGGCCTTCAGAGATTTAATCTCCGAGGAGAGTGTCTGGCGCACAGAGTCTAGCTCTGCAGCATGCGTCTGACGGAGAGCCTCAGTTTCGGCGCTATGCTTTTCTTGTGAAGCTATTATTGCTGCCGTTGCAGAGTTGCGTCGGGAAGAAGTCTTTGAGTCGTCCATAAGTGTGCGATTCTGTGTTTCTAAACGAAGAACTTCTGCCTGGAGAGTCTTAATCTCCGCCGACAACGCATCCCGGGCAACGCTTTCGCGCAAAAGATTTTGCGTAAGCTCTATCTCTCGCTGACTCTGCTGGTGCTCTGATGGCTTCGGCGCAGGCGCGGTAGCTGGCCTCTCAGTGCTGTCTGATTGTGCACGCTCATGACGCAAGAGCTTTGCAGGTCTGCGCTCAGCCTCGGCATCCGAGACAGCCTGCGGTTTCAGCAGCGGCGTGGCAGACTTCTTCGATCGGATCTCGAGCTTGCGAGGCGACGACGCCTGCAGTCCCGGCTCGGGCGCATCATCTTGCGTGTCCGTCGGGAGAGAGGCGGTGTCGGATGACTCTTCGGCAATGGTGTCACGAGACACGGGACGTGTCGTGCTGGCGGAGCTACGGGGGACGGGAGAAGAAGTGGTATTCGTAGGAGCATGAGCAGGAGCCGAAGCGGAAGGCTTACTGCCTGCCGTCGATAGTGGAGTGGTCTGTGACTTGGGAGGGGCGGTGGTGCTAGTGCTGCTGCGAGCTGCGGCAGAGGGCGTGACCGTGGTGCGCTTGGCAGCTAGACTACTCGTAGGTCGTCTGGACGCTGCAGTCGGTGAGGCGGTAGCCGTGGCTGTCGATGTCGTCGCACCGGCGATTGTGGTGCGTCGCGGCGGGGTGGTCTTCGTGGTAACAGAGGGCAGGGGCGGTTTGCGAGTGGTGGTTGACCGTGCCGCGAGGGTGGATGAGGATGTGCTAGTGCGCGACGCCGATGGTCTGACAGCGGTGGCGGTGGTGGTGGTATTGCCCGCATTACCGCTTTTGCTGGCGGTGCTCGGGGTGGTAGAGGTGGAGGAGGAGGCCGAAGTGCTCGTCCGGGCTGCTGCTGCTGGTCGAGTCGATGTCGACGTCGTCGGCTTCCGCGCGTCGGTCGAGGACGTCGGCGGTGGTTTCTTGGCGGCGTTCATCGAAGCATCGTCCGTCCGTAACCGCGTCGCCGGAGGTATACAATGAGGTAGTCTCCAATGCCGGTGGTTGTGTCTGGAAGACAATCTCGTGACCCTAAAGTAAGGTACGGTATAATTACAGGTACCTGGTACCTATTTGGGAAGGGGGGGAAAGATGGGGTGTTCTAGCGCGTTCGTCCCCGTCTTCCGAGGCTTTTCGCGCCGTCCGGGATGGGACTGCCCTGCTGCAGGGCAATCGCGGTGAATAATGTGAAGACTACATAATCGAGACTCACGTGACTACATAGGTATAGCTGAAGGTTAAGAACTTAAGAACTCAAGGTACCTATTATTCCAGTGGATCTCCATAACAACATTGAAATGGAGGCGTGGCCTTTCTCGTCCGTGCAGCAACAAACGATCCCGTCGGAACCTCGCCGAAACCTCGCCGGAACCTTCCCCAGGACGAAAGCCGCATCTGCGGGCTGTATAGAGAGAAAGAGAGGGACAGAGACAGAGGGAGGACACACAGAGCGGACAGTACATGATGCACCATGACGGCCACCGCCGCCGCCCATCAAGCCGATGGCGACGATGATGATGACGAGGACAACAATGACCGCGACAGCAACCCCATCAATGGAAACACCCGTCTGCCCACTCCATCGCCCACCCTGTCGCCCGCTGGAAGTGATTCGGATGCGCTGTATGATGGAGCTGGGCCCAAGCACAAACAGCGCCGCCGCAGCAGTGAAGCGACGCAGGCTCTCAGCTCTCAAGCACTGCACCATCTGACGGCCTCGCCCGAGTCGCTGCCGCTGCGATCGCTAGATGATGCTCTGCCTGCGCTCCGTGAGACGAGCGAGCAGCAGCAGCTCGGGATGGATCAAGACGCAATGCCAGCCACGGCGTCGCCCTCCGCCAGCTCACCCGCTCCTTCGCCACGGAGGGCGCCGCGACGCCAGTCTTCTCATCGAACTACAAAGCGCAACAAGCCTTCGCTTCCGCAGCTGCGCACTGACGAGCCACGCGAGAGGAGAGGCAGCAGCGTCACGCACAGAGCCTCGTCTACAGCAGGCGCACTTCGATCGCCCCTACCCTCCGTGCTGCCCGTTCCGCCACTCTCATTGCCGACGTATCTGCACCTGGAGCTGACTTCGGAAAGGCCATCTCCTCTGTACATTCATCGGCCTGCAGCTAGTGATCACCCCTACGAGACTTCTGCTGTGAAATTTGAGCGACTCCATAACTTTCTGATGCTTCCTCTGCAATTGGAGCGCGCTCTGGTCTTCGGTGCGATAGCGTGCCTCGACGCGTGGCTCTATACCTTTACAATTCTTCCTTTGAGGTTCTTCAAAGCGCTGCTGCTCCTCCTTCGCGGGCTGGGCAGAAATGCCGCTCAGGAATTGGTCGATATTGTCGGCTTCACCTATCAAGGCATCGGACGCATGTGGCGGCGCCGACACTCATCGCCGTTGCAGCACCAGTCTCAGCACCAGTCTCAGCACCAGTCTCAGCATCAGCACCAGCGCTCTCAGCACCAGAGCCAGCATAAAAGGCCAGAGAACGACATGCGTCAAGGGTCAGGCGCCAGCCATGTTCCATCTTCTCCCCTCAGGCAATCTCGTCAAGCATCGAGCGCATATCGACATCAGCGAACGAGATCGAAACCCTCGGCGCTCCTTGCGAGCCATAAAGCAGACCTGCTACAGGGCCTGTTGATCATTACCAGTTGCATTGCACTCATGTCATTTGACGCGAGCCGAATGTATCACTCCATCAGAGGTCAAGCCGCCATCAAGCTTTACGTGATTTACAACGTCCTCGAAGTTTTCGATCGTTTATTGTCTGCGCTGGGGCAGGACATCCTGGAGTGCTTGTTTTCGCGAGAGACACTGGAGCGCAATGCCGACGGGCGCAGCAAGATCATACGTCCGTTCTGGATGTTTCTGCTTGCACTGGTCTACGTCATTGCTCATTCGACAGCACTGTTTTATCAAGTCGTCGCGTTGAACGTGGCTGTCAATTCGTATTCGAACGCTCTTCTGACTCTACTGATGAGCAATCAGTTCGTCGAAATCAAGGGCACCGTCTTCAAGAAATTTGTCAAGGAAAACCTGTTCCAGCTCACTTGTGCTGATGTAGTCGAACGCTTCCAACTATGGCTCATGCTGCTCATTATTGCACTGCGAAATATTGTTGAGGTTGGAGGCCTGAGCATTAGTCTCAGTAGTGCGTTTGGGGACATGGGCACCTCAGCAGAAGAATCAGGAGCAAACGCCGCCACTGGGGTTCCACTTTTATCTGGGCTTGTCATTCCCAAGGCCTTCACGCTGATGCCAAAATGGACGGGTGAGGTCCTCGGTCCGTTCTTGATCGTCCTGGGGAGCGAGGCGCTCGTGGACTGGTGCAAGCATGCCTACATTTCCAAGTTCAACAACGTGAAACCGAACATATATGCTCGTTTTCTTGACGTTCTGGCCAAAGACTACTACTCACACGCTTTCGTTGATCAGAATTTGACGAAGCGCCTGGGGTTGCCCATTATTCCTCTCAGCTGCTTGTTTATCCGAGCAATGGTCCAGACATACCACATGTTCCTGGCCACTCACATGCCAGCGCCCATCATCTCGAGTGCGACCTCGATTTCATTAGATTCTGATCTGTCAGAGCGGTCTTCGGTGATCATGGCCGCCTTGCACAACTTCGACACAGTCCTGCGCCGGGCGCTTGGAAGATCGACGTTCGGGGCTGGCAACGAGACTGTGTATTCCGTGGCGTGGTGGAGCCTTGACGATTTCATCGCACTCGCGACGATGGTCATATTCTTCTTAGTTGCTTATCTGATACTCCTCGCTTTCAAGCTGATGCTGGGTATGATGCTCCTGACGTATGCTCGTAATCGATTTCGAGATATGAAAGCCAGAGAAGAGCAGAGCGTAGACACTCATGGTCGTCGGGTTGGTGGCTGGGGCGCTGTCGAGGTGGATGAAGACAAGATGCGGTGGATATATGAAGACGATGCCGATGGCTTGGCCAATCTGAAAGGAAAGGAAAGCAGAGGTCGGCAGAACGCTACTACTGCTGAGCAGGGGCCTCTCAAGCTGGACAAGGTTGAACGGTACAGCATGATTGGCAAGCGCATATGGTGAAGAACAGACTCTCCTTGCCACTCCAAGTCTGTCGTCGGACATTGTACGTTTGTGGAGGAATGATGAAGAAGGGTAAGGTCGATACCTATGTGTAAGGGACGCATCGCATCGAGCTCCCTTGTTCACGTCAGAGACACGTGATGTGTCGTGCTGCTGCTGCTGCTGGTGGTGGTATGGTGGTATGGTAGTATGGTGGTATGTGCCTGGCAGGACCACGACAGGATGATGAATATTCACTCATGTTCCCTTTCTTACCTAAGGTATTGTAGGTTGTTATTGGATGTAAAATGCAGCTCCCGGCAATGGCATGCTCCTGATGAGGGGAGCGGGGAGGGGGGGGGGGGGGGGCGGGGGGACGGGAGGGGAAGGGAAGGGAGAGGGCGGAAATGCGGAACACTTGCGTTGCGGAATCATGACGGCATCTCTGGAGGTACAAGTACAAGTACATGTACCGACCTTTCTGTGTCATTCTCTCTCTCTCTCCCCCCCTCTCCCTCGACATTACTCCGAAATTACTTCGACCTCCCGAATCACATTTATACATGTAATCGGGACATGATATCACCACAGGACAAACAGACTAACTGATTCGGAACGCACCGCACCGCATCGCACCGTACCGTACCTGACCTTACCACAACTGCATCATGCCTCACAAGGAGCAGCAGCACGTCGAGTTTGTGCCTGAGGACTATCCTCCCTTTCCCGCTGACTTGAAGACAATCGACCTCCAGACCATTTCCTTACAGAAAATCCAGAATGCGGACTCTGCCGAACAAGACCGCATGTTCGCCGCCTGCAAGAATTGGGGCTTCTTCTATCTGGACCTCACTCAGTCGGACCAGGGCGAGCTCATATCTCAAGGGGCTGCACAGGTTGCCCGCGTTGCTGAGGGCGTCATGGCACTTCCTCTTGAAGAGAAAGAACAGTATCCGTTTACAGATGGTAACATCTTTGGGTATGTGAGCAACTTCATGCCACCCACTATGACATGCTTCTCAAGTCGTCTTCAGGTACAAGAAGGTCGGCCAGACCAAAGTAGACAAGGTGAGGGCCTTGTGCTGGGCTGAGCCAACGAGTGTGTATCCGCACCATGGACGAATTAACGCTGCCCCTAGGACCAAACGCCAGATACTGCCGAGTTCTTCAATGTTTCCAAAAACGATATGATTGTTCCTGACGCGCAGATGAAGCGGAAGTGGCCCAATATCATCGTAGAGAACAAGGGCCTTCTCTCAACGTACTGCAAGACGGCACACTCCGTGGGCGTCCAGATACTCGGTATACTGGCATCGAAGCTCGGCATCGATCCCGAAGAAATTTTCCAAAGACACACGATTGAAAAATTCTCTGGTGACCATATTCGCATGACGAGAGGACCGCCACGGAAGACAGCGGAAATGCCTGAAATACAGACCCCTTCACATACAGGTGAGAAGAAGAGGCAGCAGCAGATTTGAGCTACAACCACCAAGATACTCACTAACTGTTGGACTTTGCACGGACTTTGCACAGATTTTGGTGAGAGTAGAAAGTCCACTTCGTCCGTGCTTGGAATTGCTGCTGACGATGTTGGATGGTCCACAGGTACCATCACCATACTGATGAATTGGCTCGGCGGGCTCCAGGTCTTGGGCAGCCCCAATCGCATTCTCGGCAATCTCGATTTTGCCGACGACAACAACAACGGAGAGTGGCTTTGGGTGAAGCCCAAGAAGAACTGCGCCATTGTTAACCTCGGAGACGCCGCAGTGAAGTTCACGAATGGCGTTCTGTGCTCCGGACGCCATCGAGTTATTCCAGCTCCAGGATCACAAGGACAGTGGCCACGTAAGTTCAGCCCTTCTCTCATCCAGGGGCGCGTCCCGACACCGTGCATGATTGCCTTACAAGACCTTGTGGGAATCAACCACACGCCCGCTCGAAGCATCGTACGGACCAGGTACCATTGATTCATTACTAATGGTCCTCGACCGCAGGCTACAGCATTGTCTACTTCGTTCGACCTATAGACGAATGCAAGCTCAAAACTCTCAAAGGGACCGGAGTGCCAGAAGCCGGCGACGAAGACGAAGATGGCATCAATGCACGGGAGTGGATCTTCACGCAGGCGGAGAAGCTCGCAGGTCGTTGATGATGTGTTGTATCTTTGGTATCATCCACAACACATAACGTATTCATGCTCGACTGGAGCTTGTTCAATTACGTGTCGTGCATATTGTGCCCTCTCCAGGCTCTAGCAACGAACCTTGTAGGTACTTAGTACTGATTGATGCTACACACGACAACGCTCTGCATCACGAGTAAGCCAGTCATCACCACCGTCTGGACATGTAATGTCATATCATGCCATTGCCTTGCTCCTGTTGTTGTAACCAAGGCGACCATGCTAACAAGGCGCAGCATACCAGTCTGTTACCATGATATTCCCTATTAGCTGCATCCTGTGCGCAAGAAGCGTAGCGTCAGCCCTTGTCCTGTTAGGGCCATTTCAAAACATTGTGCCAAAGTTCTCATCAATCTCCGCCAGCGGCTTGCGCGGGCTGCTTGGTAGTCCATTGTCGTCGGTCGCTGGCTTGCGATGCCTATTTCTTCATGTTAGTCGGGCCTTATTTTGGCCACGCGTGGGAAGGGTGAGCAGAAGGTAGCATACCTGAAAGTGAAGCCCACAAACAATGAGCGGCCCATCTCCCCACCTCGGTCCGCCATGCGCTCCAATGCTTCTTGCTTCTCGAGCACTTCCTTGTACTTAGCCATGTCCTTTTCGCTCCCAAAGTCATCAAAATAGCCTGCATCCGTGTCCGAATCAAGCTCCGGCACAAAAGGCGCACGCTCCTGGCGCAAGCGGTCCCAAGCCACTTCGCGGAAGTAGTCATGGCTCTGGACTTGCTTGATGCCACGAAGCCTGTTCTGTTTCCCTGTGATGAGCCTCGTGATGAGATCCCATGTCCGCCGCGACAGGAAGTAGTTGGGGTCTTCGTATTCTGGCTTTCTCAAAACATGCTGCCAGCGCTTCAGGTTTTGCCACGTTTCGTCGACTGAGGCGCCTGCAAAGGGCGGGTACCCGGCAAGGGCCTCGAAGAGCATGCAGCCCAACGACCAGTAGTCGACCGTGGAGTCGTATTCATCTCCCTTCAACACTTCTGGCGCCATGTAGTCAGGCGAACCGACAATGGACTTGGCATAGTTCACGTCGCGCTCACGCAGCGAGCGATAGCCTTCGCGACGCTCTTTGAGGGAACGCTCCTCCATGGGTCTGCCAAAAGGAATTGCATGAGCGGGAATATTGCCTGCCTCCTCAAGCCGTACTCGCATGCTTTCAATCTTGGCGGGTGCGAGGAAGCCAGCGGCGAGGCCAAAGTCTGTGAGCTTCACATGGCCAGTGCCGTCAATCAAGAAATTTTCTGGTTTCAAATCGCGATGGATGTATCCAAGCTGATGCAGAGCATCAACACAGAGGAACATTTCTGATATGTAGAAGCGGGCATGGCGGTTGTGCAAGACGCCTGTATTGTTCAGAAGGGTCCGGAAGTCGCCACCAGGTACGTATTCCATCGCGAGATAAATGCTGCTGTCGTCTTGGAAAGAGTAGAGTAAACGAGTCAACCACTCGCTCTTGGCGTTGGTGAGAATGTCACGCTCCGTGAGCACATGTCGCACTTCATCCAACTTGAACAGCAGCTTCTTGCTCATGACCTTTAATGCACATATCTCGCGAGTGTCCTTTTTTGATGCCAGATACACCTGACCATAGCCGCCCTGTCCGATCTGAGTCAGAATTTGAAAGTCGCCGTGGCGCAAGCGCGTCCTGCGCTGGCGCAGGTTCGCGCGCTCATGGCCGAGATATTGCTTCCACAGCTCGTTGTAGCTATCGGTATTGGCAGCAGGATCGGATGGACCTGGCACAGGATTGTGGTCTTTGAATGTCTGGAGACGCTTCTGGCGGTTGTGGATGTACGACAGCAGATCGTAGTAGTAATCAAGGAAGTACAGCTGCGTGACATTGGCCAGTCTCTTAACGCTGGGCTTCTGGAGCTTCTCCAAGTCCTCCGATGTGAGACCTCCAGCCAGAGCTCTGCTCGCGTGAGTGGGAGAGGGGTCGTCGCGCTGTCGATATGGCTCCTGTCTGCTAGCAGCAGCCTGGTTGACGAAACTCTGCGTTTGCTGCAGCTGGGGACGGTGGCTGGGTGGCGTGTTCTCCTTGCCCGTCTTGCGCGGTGGACTGCCCGGCGGGCCCGCCTTGACATCAGCCCCGATGGCATCTGCGTACTGTTGCTGGTGTTGGAGATTGGGGTGCTGTGACTGGCCCTGGGTGGGCAGCAGCTTCATCGCATTGTGGAAGACATGCGGCAAGTCAATGGCGCCAGGAGGCAGCTTGTTCTTGCTCGGGCTGCCTTGAGGCGTCTGAGGGGGGGATATGAAGGCCTCGTTCGCGGCGCCGTCGGCATCGTGAGAAGTCGTATTGGTTCGGTCGTTGCTCGCGCGAGTGTGCAGCGGCGGGGGCGGCGTAGGCAGCGTGAAGTCGAGCGGCGTGGAGGGCGCCATCAGGACACGCTGGCCTGATCGATGCACCCGGCGAGCGTCAATCAGGTGCAAATGGCGAGTCACCGGTGGCGGCTCAACAGACCGACAGCACAGCACAGCGCAGTTCCGTCCCGTCCAGTGTCGTCCCGTCAAGGCGGAGTGGAAGTAGGTAGGTAGTCGAGCGCGAGGGAGTCGGGGTGGGGGGAGGGGAGGGGGCGGGGCGGTGTTGCAGCGGACGGTATGGCAGCAGACGACGGCGAGGGCGAGGGAAGTGCAGCGTCGGCTGTTCTTACCACGAACGGGTGTTGTGATGTTGTTGTTGTTGTTGTGGACGTGTCGTCATGTAAACAGCAACCGCTCAAACCCCAAGTACGGCAGGTACTACTGTCCAACCTTGCTCTTGCCGTGTGTTTGTTTCACAATCCAGCGTCTCTCACTCTCGTGCCTTCCTTCTCATTATATTCTCTTCCGCAGCAGCTCCTGCTCTGCGAAATGGACCTCATCGCCGTCGTCCAGAACGGTCAGGTACCACCTCTAGGTACGGAAACGTCCAGTCACCACAGCCCATCTCAGACCCCGATGGAGTCGCGATCGGAGCCGGGTGCAGACTACATACCTTAAGTATATATGTAGTTCTAGTCATTGGCTCTGTGGTCGAAGTACTATGTAGCTACCTTATTGCGCCTATGCCTACGCCTACGCCATTCGCCCGCATTTGCCCAGATAAGGAGCCTGGCTGGCCAGTGGCGGTTGATTCTGGTTTGCGCTGGTGGTCCCAGCAGAGTGGCGATAGCAGTGATAGACTGATAGCGGTGATGTTGCATTTGGCAGGGCTCCTGGCACACGCGCACCACCACGTTCTGCTTGGACGCCCGCTGCCTGTCAATCAGGTGCGAAAACTATCCCGTCGCATGCATGGATGGCGACACGTGCCACCGCCGTGGTCTCCATGATAGCGGACGCCGGACGATGGACGCACTGGGCCTTATCGGTTTCACCATCTGGATGAGATATGAAGAATGAGGGGAGGGGGCACCGGAGGTACATATAGAACGTGTCCGCCCCGTCAAATAGGACTGCTCCTCGATCTGCCTATGACCTGCCTCCGACCTGCGTCCATCTGCCCCAGATACAACACGGCACTAAGCACCTGATCAGGCTCTCAGGCACCCCTGGCTGATTCGGTCCCATGAATGGGCACGGCACCTAAGGTGTACTGTGGACGGTGGTATACCAGCGACCTCCTAGAAGCTGCTGTGCTTCACCGGCATTCTCGAGGGCGACGCCCCGCCGAGATCCATCGACCCGCCATCGGAGTGCCCAAGGACGTTGGTGGATTTCCGGCCACGACGATTACTGTATTCCTTACGAAGGCCCGACGCCTCCTCTCTTCCTAGCTTGGCTGGAACTAGTCTGCGCCCCGAACAGCTCCCAGAGTCGCCAGGCTCCCACGCTTTCAACGTGTGTACGCATGCCGCCGTGCCTCCATACCAGCCCCTCCCCACCCATCCTATATCGGCAGCAGCAGCGGCAACAACAACAACAACAGCAATAGCAACAGCAGCGCCACCACCAGCATCACCAGCACCAGCACCAGCACCAACACCAGCACCAACACCAGCACCACGACTATTATGACTCTCCGCCGTACACTGCACATGGTAACAACGTGCAGGTGAGGATCCCTCGCGCGGGACGATGACCAATCACGAGCTCCATGCGTGATGCTCTTTCCCAATTCTGGGACAGAGCCCCGAAGTCCAAGGACCCAAGTCTACCTACAGCTCCTAGGAGCATTGATTCTCCAGGATCATACATACAATACGGTATGTCAGGTAATGTTAGTAGGTAAGGTCAGGTACATGTCGAGAGACGAGACGGTCGTGATCAACAACTTCCTGCATACTGTACATGTATACATGACCTACCAACTACCTTACCTACCAGGTACCTTACCTTAACCTTCCCTGTCCTGGCCGCTCAACGCCTGGACCCCCTCGGGAAGCCTCGAGTTGACTTTGCTTGGGAGTGGAGCCTCCAGCACTCGCAGACCATTCAGCCCACTTGGCCGTCATCTCATGACAGCCAGCGCTGACACATGCATTTGGCTCGTCTGTGAGCTGAGCGGGAGGTCTGGAGGTACTCCTAGTACTCAACCACCCAAGGTAAATAAATACCTGTACTATACCTGTATGGTAGGAGGTACCACGTCGATTTTGCTGCCACTCTGCCACTCTGCCACTCTCCACCAGATAGCCGCGATCGCGTCCTGTGAGAAAAGCCCCGAATCTGCCCTGTTGTCCCGGCATCCGACGTTCCGACGTCCCGGCAGGCGGCTGTGACTGCTGCGCCTGTCGAGCCTGTCGACATCGTCGGCAATAACCTCATAATTCACATTCTAGGGCATGGCGGAATCTACCTGTACCTACATGTACCTATTGCCGAATATCTTAGCAGAGGCAACTAAGGTACCTACTATTCGATGAATCACGATCGCCGGAAAAGTTGGAGACGCTGATGAAACACAGTCGGTGCATCCCGTCCGTATTGTCGCCTTGGGAAGAGGACCACGCGACCGCTTACTGCCGGCATTATTGCACGGTTACTGTGGTTAGCTTCCTCGACCCGGCCGGCTATTTCGTCTGGTGCCAATTCTATTATTGTATCTCTTCGCGCACTGCACTGCGCTGTTGTCTACCATTCACGCACGAGCGAGGAGCAGACAGGCCAATTATGCACGAATCGTTGTGTTCTTAAAAGAACTTTAGAGGCCTGCTCGTCAGTATACCTCCCCTCTTGGTGGGGGAGGAGGGAGGGGGGCGTGCGTTGACTATAGTTCTGCTAGTAGTAGATTGGGGATAGAGATGTTCGTACCGCACACCGGAATTCTCCATTGTCATCGTCTTTTGGCCAGCATCGAGGGATGATTGCATCAAAGCTGGATAAGGTACATGGGAGCTTGCGCGTGCTGCGCGATCCCACAGGCGTACCATGCAGCCACGCGCAGGAAGCGAGCTCGCACCGGGAACAAGCCGTCAACGATTCTGTGAAGAAAAGCAGAGAGAGGGAGAGAGTACCTCCTAAGAGAGAGAGAGACAGAGAGAAAGAGAGAGAGCGAGGGAGCCTCTCAGAGAGGTCTGAGCCTCTGATGGAGGGGAGAGAGGAGTGAGCGGAGAGTAGCTCCTAACGAATATTCCTGTGGCGCGGCAGCACAACGGCAGCAAAATCAAACCCTGTGAGTCGGGGCGGCTTGCTTCACACGACCACCCGGGATGTATTCGTTCTTGCGGAGTCGATGGAGCCAGCGTCGCAGCGCGAGTGTGCATTGATTTGGTAGCGTACGCGTACCTTACGTGGTATGATTGCTCGTTCTGCTGCGAACGGAACCGAAGCATTCGAGCATTGCAGAGGCGGATACATGTACGTCTCCGTCCTCTGAATAATTATGATGATGATAAAAATAATAATAAAAATAATACTACATGTACCTCCTAATAATACCAATAATCCATCATCATCATCATCATCATCATCGTCACAAGACAATCATGCCAATGGTGGCCACAAGCTCGGGTGGCTCGTCGTCAGCGCACAGGAAGGACCCTGGCGCTCTGCACGCGCATCCCATGTCCCAGCAGCGCAGTAGTGGCCGTGGTGGAAGCCTCGAAGGTCTTAGCCTCTGAGGTCGCACGACAGTCACTAGTGGAGCTTCAATTGGTGGTTGCCGAGTGCCCCACTTCGCATTACCATATCGAGTGTGGAGTGGGATGAAGCACATTACCTACCCTTCCCTGCCGCCTGCCCAGTGCCCAGTGCCCGCCTTCCCTACCTGACCTGTTTTCCCGCCACAGCTCTTCGTTGCCGTGGCCGCAATGGAGGTGAGCCGGCGGAGCGCTTCTGTCTGTGATGAGCGCGCCTAGTGGAGATGGGGAGAGACGGGGAGAGATGGTGGTGATGATGACAATGATGACAATGATGATGATGATGATGACGATGAAGGGCGGAGCGAGGGCCGAGGAGGAGTACATACCTGATAGTGATCCGTTATTGATCAGTAGGAGGCAGTTGGTGGGTGTGAGATTTGTGGTATGGTGTGCCAGGTGTGGTGTGGTGAGGACGGGGGGGGGGGAGGGAGGGGGGGGGGGACAGGGCTTGATTTCCATCGATCGTCCACCCTCGCTCCATACCTCAGGCGCGGCTAATGAAGCTGGCGCCGACGAGAGTTGCAGGCTGCCTTAGCGGTCTACCATGTAACTAGGAGGTAGTATGGAGTCTAGGTATGGACGGCCATGGCCCATTTGCTTGCTAGGCCAGCGCCCTGCCTGTCACCTTGCTTGCGCTCCCGTCTGCCTGTCTGCCTGTCTGCCAGTCTGCTTGCCATAGGTAGTCACAGAGTACGACCATCTAACCTGCTGCCTCCCACCACCACCACCACCACCACCTCCACTACTACCACCATCGCCGCCGCCGCCGCCGCCGCCACTACCGCCGCCAGCAGCACCACTCTCTGACCCCTCTAGTCTGCTCACACTGTGCCGGACTGTGCCGGGGAGCGCACGGTCGAGTGACTGCAGACAGAAAGACGGACAGACAGACACACAGACACAGACAGACAGACAGACAGACACACCCACACCTACACCCACACCCACATACCCACACTCACCCACACAGTCACAGACAGACAGGCACACCAGATCCACAGCGGCACAACCCACCCTAATACCCTCCACATCGACGGGGCGAACGTGCTATGCCTGCACGTGCAGATTATTGCCGGGGACACTCACAGTCTTAAGCGAGGCCGAGCAGCAGAGAGCAGAGCAGAGCCAGACCGGATCCAAGCACGAGCAAGCACCAGCAGCAGCGGCGGCAAGAAAGCGGCTTCCACCACCACTGCCCGCGACCATTCACGGAATCACGGGCAGAGAGCACCAGAGACATCAGAGACACACTCCCGCACCCACACGCTCGCCCTCAACCCACGCCTGCCCGCCCGCCCACACCCACCCCTCCCCTCCTGTCGCACCTCGTGCATGTCTTCTCGCTCGGGCACGCTTTCGGACGAGCGCGGGGACGACCTCGAGAGCCTCGACGGCAGCAGCATTGGCGACCACCACCACCACCACCACGCTGCCTCGTCTCCGCGCCATGTGAACCCACCTCACCACCACCACCACCACCACGACGACGACGCTGCCTCCGCCGCCACCGCCACTGCCGCCGCCAGTACCGCCATCAGTGGATCGGGCACGTCGAGCGCCATTGCGTCGCTCACGTCGCAGTCGACCCTGGACACGCTGTCCACGAGACTGGACCTGTCGCCGTCTGACCGCGACGCTCACAAGGGCCTCTTGCGCGACACCTTCTTCGACCACTTTAGAGACGATTCGGTCCCCTCGGTCACCTCGCCCTCCGATCTCGAGACGCCTGAAGAGATGCAAAAGAACGACCCACTGGGCACGCAGATATGGAAGCTGTACCACAAAACCAAGGGCCAGCTCCCGAACTCGGAACGTCTCGAGAACCTCTCGTGGCGCATGATGTCGATGAATCTGCGGCGCAAACAACTCGAGAGGCAAGGGTACGTGCATACGCTACACTGCCTGGCTGCCTGTGTCTCCCTCCTCCTCCTCCTCCTCCTCCTCCTCCTCCTCCTCCTCCCCCCCTCCTCCCTACCCGCTCGAGACTGTTCATCATGCTGACTTGTGAATGGTGTCCTTAGCCTCATGCCTCGACCGCTCCCTGTCTCGCAGAATGCTCCCAGCGGCATTGCTCAACTGCGCAAGTCGTCCGAGCAAAATGCCCAACACGCGCATCAAGTGCTGGGCGACGATCACATGAATCTGGATGATTTTTTGGAGCCAACGTCCATTGGCAGTCCGGCCGGCGTCTCGCCATCGCCTACGCCATCTGGCAGCATGCCCGACGGAGATCCCTCGTCTACCGTCGCCGTCTCTGCGATTCCTATCAAGCAGCAGCAGCGACTACAGGCCGACGAACTGTCTGCTGCGCGTGCATCAGCTCCTTCTGTTCCTCCACTCGAGCAGAACCGAACGAGCAAGGAGTTTGCGTATGTGCAGAGGCACGTGCGGAAAACGAGCATCGACGAGCGACGGGTATGCGCGCCCGTGTTCCCCAGTATTGCGTATCGTTGGCTGACCATGTACCATAGCCTCCCAAGCGGCGCGCTGAAGCCTCGCCCCAAGTCCCCCCAGTGCAGAACAGCGCCATTGCAGCACAGAACCCCGCCGAGGAAGCGGCTCTGCACGACTATTGTCTGGACACCCCTGTCACTACGCAGTCCAGCACGCAGCATCCACTGCTCCCGTTCAATCTGGACACCTTTAATTTGGACAGCGACCCAATTCTCAACTCTGCTGGACCTTTGCAGCAGAATTTCTCCTTCTCCCCTGTGGGCTCCCCTTTGATGAGCACAGGTGGGTTCACGCACATGTATGGCACCAATATGCCCCCTCCGCACAGTGTCTCTAGTTTCCAGTCTCCATCGGCCTCCGCATATCCATCAACCGTCTCCACGCCGCAGCCTATACCGGAAGGCGAACAAATGTTCTTCGCCAACCAGCTTCACTCTAGTTCGGTGTCGAACTTCCAACAAAACCAGGCTCAGAACCAGCACCATCAACAGATTCCCACGAGGCAGATGCAACATCAGTCACAGCAGCAGTTTGTGTTTAATCCTCACAGTGACTCCATGTTCAGTGCAATCTCAGCCAGTGCGCCATCCCACGGCTTTCACGCACCATCGTTCCACGTACCCGGTCATCTGGATCCCTCGCGTATCATGCCTCAAGATTATCCAAATTCGAACCTCAACATGTCACGTCATGAGCAGCAGCACATGTTCACATTCGGAGGCGACTCGGAAAATGAAGATGAAGACGTTTCGTACCCGGACACCAACATGTTGATGACTCAGGAACTATCACCTGAAGATTCAGCGCTTGACATGCATGGCAACTACCAGTGGGATCAATCGATGTCTTCGCAATTCAATCAATCCGAAGGGCGATTCACGAATATAGGCAGGAAGGGAGTGCAAATAGGTGGCACTGAGCTAATACCGTCCCCTCAGAGCTGGGACCAGGGTAGCTTGAGCAGAGGACATGGATCTGCAGCTTCTGTAAGCGATATCAGAAATCGAGGTGGCGATCCCCGGACTCGAAAGATCCCCCGTACGACTTCCACCCCGAACACCGTCGGCATGGCCACTGGGATGTTCTCCATCCGAACGCAAACGTCTCCGGAATCGCCACCAGAGTCGGGCTTCACCTCTGCAGCTCCCTCACGGCCGGGCAGTCCTCGGCCCGGAGGTGATAACAATGGAGTCCCCACGACATGTACCAATTGCTTCACGCAAACGACACCTCTGTGGCGGCGAAACCCGGAAGGTCATCCCTTGTGCAATGCTTGCGGTCTTTTTCTGAAGCTCCATGGCGTTGTGCGGCCGCTGAGCTTGAAAACAGACGTCATTAAGAAGCGCAACCGTGGAAGCGGCAACTCGGTGCCTGTCGGCTCTGGGCGATCCAAGAAAGCAATCAGTCGTAAGAACTCGATTGTTCAGGCTGGCACACCTGGACCAGGCAAGATTGTTGCCAACGAATCCGACTCCCCAAAGTCTGGCGGTGGGTCCTCGGCGAACACGCCCACCAGCTCAGGCCCAGCCGACAAGCCTGTAAAAATGGTGGTCCCGATTGCCCCTGGCCCACCAAAGCCTGCCACACAGCCGCCCATGACCGCACCGACACGTCTTGTAGCGCCGCGGCGCGTTCGGAAAGCAAGCAGAGCGAGCAACTCGCTCCCACAGAACGACGCCGAGATGCACGACGCAGAGGATATGAGCGGCATGGGTCAGAGCGGACAACGCGAAGCGACCAAGGCTGCTTCACTCACGCCGGCTTCCATGCCTGCGAAAGCGACCGCTCCACTAATTCATGCTTCGATGTTTCCTCAGGGCGGTGGCCAAGCCGCATCGCAAATATCTCCGGAACAAAATAATGGACCATCGACCGGAATTCCGGCCTCCATGCTCACTGGCCCACAAGAGTGGGAGTGGTTGACCATGAGCCTGTGAAAATTAGGCATAAAGATTGCCATATTCTTGACTTACGACACCTGTTCGTTACGACTGCGCGAAGTTGCGCTACCTCAATGATACCCGAGCTATGTTCGCTCATCATACACCTTCTGCACCATGCGAGCCGTTGAGCGCGGAGTTCCGGATACTAGTTCCGTTTTGTCTAGACGACCCTTGCAGAAATCTATACATTCGCCGACGACTCGTCCGCACGACATCAGGAGTCAGTAATATCGCCTGGCACACCGTCCTGATCATGATTTGGGATTTTACCTTTCAAGATTGGCGTTACAACATAGACTGGGGGCACATGAATACGAACCATTTTCGATACGAAGAGCAATCGCAAATTCCATTATTCACCATTCTTTCCGTCTACATTGACGACTCGTTTCACATATCGCCACTGACAACCCCCAAGCATACTGTAGGTACGTGAGAGCGAGATGTCAGGCCTGCATCTCACATGTGTTCGTGGAAGAAGTGCAGGACCAGCTGCAGATTGCATTAGTTGTCATCGTACGGTATCGCTCGCCAAGGCCAGTGCACTTTTTACCTCGTAAGCTTTCTTGTAGTCGGCCTCGACAGCCTTGTCGTTGAGATCACCACGTGCCGCCATGAAACCGTGCACCTGTGAGCCAAGCCGCTTAGAACATGACGCGAGAGAATTATGTGAGTGAGTGGAGGGGAATGGAGGTGGAAAAGTACCTGGCTGGGGAACCACTCTACAATGTTCTTCACTTTCAAGCCTTTTTGCCACTTCTCAACATCCTCTTTGGGCTCATCCTTGCTGGGAAGCATCGCGAAGGGAATAGTGATGCCAGGCGCGTCCTTTTCATCGACCATGGCCGGGTGGCACGAGGCGGCGGCTTTGAAGGGCGTGCCCGCCTGCGAGGAGAGGTTGACGATCTTGCCACCCCAGCCTGTGTGCCATGTTAGTTTGAAAAATTGCAGATTTTCATCGAAAAAAAAGAGGACGATGAGAGGCGATGAGAGCAGTACAGTATCCAAGCACACCCCATTCGCTGATTGACGATCGTTGTCCTTTGATCTCTGCAAGGACCTTGGGGATCTTTTCTAGTGTCTTTGGTGGCGCAGCCTTGGTAGAGAAGAACTCTCCAAGCTTCGTCTGTGCAAAGTCAGTAGATTTCGTCGAAGAGGAGGGCTGAAGGTGGTGGTGGTGGTGGTGAGCCCTGCCTCTTTGTCCTTGGTGTCCGCAGGAAGCTACATTGCGTTCGTTAGCGTATCAAGTGCAGTAGAAAGTTTTGATGTTCGACCCTGGATATATACATACCCAGCTGATGTCGGCTGGCTGGCCCTCGAAGAAATCTGGCATAAACACCTGGTATGGGCGTTCTTTGTCGCTATACGCGAGTATGTCGGCACCTTGCAGGGTCTGTGGGAAGAATCCAAAGATGTCATACTGAGTAAAACATGTGAGTCAGTACATGTAGCTTTCCTGAGGACAACAAAACATATGCCACTGGTCCTAGCGACGCCAAAAAAGCGATCCTCGTCGTGGTATGTTCTATTGTTCTATTTGTTTTTTTTTTTTTTTTTTTTTTCCCTTTTTTTTTTCCTTTTTTCCTTTTTTTTTCTTCCCTTCTCTGGTGAAAGAGAGCGTGTCATGCCATTGACGGTAATCCACTCGCCCTTCTCTTTATAGCCCTCGGCGACAATGGGCGGCACAGTGCAGCAGGCGCGTGATTGAGACATGTTGGCGGGTTTCGCGTGGGGTTTTGGATCCAAATACGAAGGAAATTAGAAGTGACGAGTGATGGAGAAAACAGAAAGCAGAAAAAGAGAATCACGCCTCATGAAATGGATGGAAGCACATCAAGAGAGCGAGGCATTGGGGGATGGGTGGGGTAAGTACATGGTATGACGTTGAAAGCGGCTGCTGCCCGTCCTCCCGTCCTCCCGCGTAACCGAAATGCCTTATACAGAATAGGTAAGTACCTCACTCCCTCTATCAATTACTAATCTACCGATGGGGATGAATTACCAGGTACTGTTGATTGTGATGGTTTACCGAAGAGGCAAATGGAGGGCATTCATGCCTCATCAGACATGTCGTGAAGTGTGAATTGATGAAAATGGAATGTTGATTCTGGTGGAGCGGGTGAATGCACCAGCGCTCGTTGTGGGATGGAGCTATCTCTACAGCTACATGCAACTCCGCGTGAAGATCGCTTGAACGCTCCAGATGTAACTCAAATCTTCTTTAATGGGAAAGTCGTCTTCATGTACCATTCATTTCGTTACTGGCCCTACGCTGGAAGAATATGAAGTATGCCTGGTTGTTGTCCAGGGCTTCACCAGGACTCAGCGTTTCGGGCTTAATGTCTCGATACTGCGTGTCGTTGAAAATCCTCCAGCATCCGCGCGCCGTGTCCCGCACAACAGCCGTGTAGTGACCACTTGTGGTGGTGCTGCCCATGTGTCGCACGACAGCGTAGGCGTCGTAGATATAAGGAGGGCTCAGCGAGTCATCAACCTTCAGCGTGTCGTGCCCGTGCTCCCGCGCTATTTCCTGCACCTCCGAGGGTGAAGGCGGTTGGAGTATGAACTCTTCCATGTCAAGACCTGTAAGGGGGAAGCGGACTGCCGTACTCAATTTACGCTGCTCTCCTCTTGCGTTTTGCTTGAAGCGTTTCAACGCCACGACCAGGAAGGGTGGTGCACGGGTCATGGTCAATTTCTTCGTGGCTCGCCGCGGAACCTTGCACCTGGGGCACGTCCATTGATTCTCACCATCAAGTTCCTCGCTTCTGAAGTGAGCACGCAGGCAGTCCTTCAGCCTGGTTTCAACTTCAGGTATTTCTAACTGCAATAAAGCCCATGCCTCATACGTGGTGCTGGTGAAGCTGCAAGCGGAACAACGGAGTCGCGACGAGTGTTGTCCATAGAACAACGACGTAAGGAACGAATTCTCGCGATGTATGTACCGGCCCCACTCGGTTTTGGCAACCACTAAGGGGGGCATACGCTCCCGCTTCGCCTCTTCTTGTTCCGTGAGTACTCGCAAAGGCATTTTGGACCAAACCGTATTGAAGTCCTCATGCAAGCAATCAACGATAAAACTGAAGAACTCTTGCGCATCCTGTTGTTGCGTGGGGTCTTTGAAAGTGCTGTTTAGCCGTCCACAGAATGTAAGGAGGGTTGATGGCTTGATGTAGTCCACACCACCCTGCCACAATGAACGGACCATGTTGGCATAGATTTCGGGCAAAAGACCTCGACTGCCTTTCCAGTTGTCCTTTTGGACCATCTTTTTATATTGATCGTCCAGCATCAGTATTGTAAGCGGCGTAGTGGCCGACAACGCCTGCAAAGTGGCGTTCATGTAACAGGTATTTCCAAAGTTATGAATGCCCGTCCTGGGAAGTCGCAGGTTCTGAGCTAGGTACCGCTGAGGCACATACGGTAATAGCTGGCTTGATGTCCTCGGTATCGGGGTACTATGTGACACAGCTCGATCGCTTACTCCAGTATAGCTCATCCTTGGCGCGGCTGGCGCAGGTCGGGCCGGCGGCGCCGGAGGGTAGATGGAATGTGCTGGTGTCGCGGGATAGTGAGGTATACTTGGTGCGGAGACGGGAGCCGTGGGAGATGAAATTGATGTGTGCACCTGCTGGCCGAGCACGCCAGCATCGGGGAATCGCGCATTGAATTCGTTAATGTGTGGAAACCTCTGCAGCTGGTCCGTCGGGCTGCTTTCGAATTCATCTGATCCATGATCATCGAATGCTGGGGCTTCTGGCATGCTCTCGCTCTGCGCGCGGGCTCGCCATCTTTGTTCCTCCTCTGCATCCAGTGGGTTATAGTCTCGCAGCCCACGTTTCGGAAGTCTCACCTGGCCGTCTCTAAGTGCCGGTCTACGCTGCAACGGCCTGCCATTCTTGGCCCGAACTTGAGTAGTTGTAGCCATGAGAGCTTGATTCCCCATCAAGTCTGCCCATGCATCGATACCACCAATCAATATGATAGGCGGCCTTTTGAGCTGTTTTTCCTGGTTGAAGTCGTAAAGGGCTTCGTGCAGATATTTGAGGCGCGATTCAGCTTCCGTGGCAGGGCTCGACAAGAACGTTTCAGATGAGGTATTCGCGTCATGGTAAACGACAAGGTCATATTGGTCGCGATTCTGGAAGACTTCCTGCTCCTCATCTGGCGAGAGGACGAGCTTGTCCGCAAGTTGTTCGGCGCTCATACCTTGACGTAATCCCACGGGCTCTACGCATATCACGTTGCGAGAGTAGATGTGGCCTTGATCAAAGTCAGAACGAGCTCGGCAATCAATAACCATAATGTCGTAGCGCTCGAGGTAGTCGTGCAACTTCTCGGCTGTGATACGAGTCTCGTCTGGCATATGAACCGACTTCTGATGGGTATTCGCCCGTGAAGTGGTCGGCGGGCCACTTTTGTGATCATCACCAAAATAGTCGCTACCACCATGGGAGCCTACGCTTGAAGCAATCGCAGACACAGCAGGGCTTGCAAGTGGATTCGATTTGCGCTGAGAAGGCAGACTGCGTGCACTGTGTCGTGGAAGTGCTATATCGCCAGAGGTCTGCATGTTTCGTGCGGGACTATAAGTCGCCGCAGGTGCCTTGGGCATCGCAGCGGCCAGCTCAGTGTCGAGCGGCATACCACGAGGGCCCTGCGGTTTTGGCAAAGGTTGAGGCACCGAGTCCGAGTCCAAGTTGCCGCCTACCCCGTAGGAAGCCAGGTGTGGGACTAATGCCCCTCGGAGTGGTGCTCGTGGGCTGGGCTCAGCCCCGCCAGGGGTCCGAAGCTTTGCAAACCTGTCCGCAATGTCGGTGCTTGCTGAAACTGCACTGCCATTGCTTACCAGTGAGATAGGTCTCGAATGCAACTTCTCTGGCTTCGGCGAGACTGAAGGCTTTTGTTTGACAGCAGCAAGAGGAGATCGCGGGAGGACACCCGAGCGGCTGTTGTTGTGGATGATGATTTGCTTGATCTTAGCAAATTGATCGCTCATAGCAGCACTGCGACGCCGCAGAAGCTGCAGCCTGGGTAGCCCATGGCTGTCATGTACGAAGTGAACGTAGTCTCGGTGATGCGGTATGACCTCGACGGCAATCTCGTAGGCGCGAAGATAGTCCACAAAAGCGACATCTGGGCGACGGAAGTCGACGTTGAACTTGGCGTCCTTGAGCGACTGTTCGGCACTCTCCAGCAGGCTTGTGATAGAGTAAGACTGGCTGCTGCTCCCGCCTAAGCCGGCGAGTGCGTCGGCCTGAAGGTCGCTGATGTGGGCATACACACGCTCGCCAGCATTGCTGTTGCCACCGCTGCCGCCGCCGCCTCCGCCGCCGCCGCCGCCACTGCCACCATTGCTACTTTTGTTTCCGGGAGCACTGGCAGTGCGGTTCGCGGTCGAGGGAGCGTGTGCAGGAGGGGGAAGTGGCGGGGCGGCACTCATGGCGGCGAAAAGAGACAGCGCTGCATTTCTTCTCTGTTCTCGCAGCGGTGCAGTGGTGGTACTCGAAGGAATTTGTAGTGCGGGCACGTCACCATGTGTCGGAATGTGGTGCGCGTGGTGGATGGTGGGTGCGGGTGGGTGATCAGTGGATGTCTGTGAGAGCGCGGGTAAGGTACAGGTGGATGAGTAGGTGTATGTTTCTGTGACGATTAAGGAAAACGGTATAGTGTATGTGCCAGAGGTGCACAAAGGGTCGTAAGAATACCAAATCCACCCAACTGCCTAAAATGGAGGTAGGAGGTACTTGCCAACGTTAGAAGGTACGTAGTTGCCTAGTTCGACCCTAGTGACGTCAGTGCGCGCCGGACTCTCGCTCGACGCGAGGAGCTGAGGTAAGAGCAGACTCGGCAAAACGACTTGAAATATTGACAGGGAATTGACTACACTTTGACGGGTTTCAACTGAACCCTGCCTGACGGAGCGGAGGCCAAGCTGACTAAGTATTTTGTGACGGACTCAGGTGATACCGGTAGCTTACCACCTACCACCTACCACCTACCACCTACCTCCTACCACCTACCTGTATCTGTGACCACCACAGTCACCTATGCAAACAACATCGCTCGCAATATACCACACCACCACACCACCACACCACCACACCCTACCCGACACTCGACATGAATCAATGTCCCATCGAATAATCAGCACACCTCCCGCCTGGCATGACAGCTCGATGATTCAATAATTTAATCAACTTCTTCAATACCTCCTGCCACAATCACCAACCTCCAACCTCTTAGACGACCTCGATTGTAAACGCCATGAGCTCCTGGTTTGGGAACACCGCCAACGCCGAGCTGGACGCGCAGATTGAACGTGCTACCGCCAGCTCGCTCGAGGATATTGCCCTCAATCTCGAGATCAGCGATGTCATACGCAGCAAGACGGTGCAGCCGCGCGAGGCCATGCGCAGTCTGAAGCGTCGCATCGGCCACAAGAATCCCAACGTGCAGCTGGCCGCCCTCTCCCTCACCGATACCTGCGTCAAGAACGGCGGCTCCCACTTCCTGGCCGAGATCGCCTCTCGCGAGTTTGTCGACTACCTCACCAGCATCCTACGCGCCGGCTCGTCCACCGCCCCCGCCCTCAGCCCCCCAAACACCGACGTCCAGGCGCGCATCCTCGAGCTGCTGCAGCACTGGGCCGCCGCTGCACAACATCGAGACAGCCTGACCTACCTTTCCGAGACGTACCGCACCCTTCAGCACGAAGGCTTCCACTTTCCGCCGCGCCACGAAGTTGCCAGTAGCATGTTCGACTCGTCCGCACCGCCTGAATGGGCCGACAGCGACGTTTGCATGCGCTGTCGCGAAAGGTTCACCTTCACAAACCGCAAACATCATTGCCGGAATTGCGGCAACGTCTTTTGTGGGACCTGCTCGAGCAAGAGCTTGCCATTACCACATCTCGGCATTGTACAGCCCGTGCGCGTAGATGATGGTTGCTATGCGAAGCTTTCTGACAAGGCTCGTGCCACCACTGCGCCACCGCGGAGTTCCAGTGCTAGCAAGAGGACGTTATGGCAAACCTCTGGCATGAGTGGTACCGAGAGCGCCCTTGGGGGAGGGACGGATCGGATGCAGCCCCGCGATGCTCGAGTGACTGACGACAGCTTCGATGCCGATCTAAAGCGTGCGCTAGAGATGAGCTTAGAGGATAGCAAAGGCCATGCCGGCGCAGGCTACGTGCCTCAAACGCAGACACAATCACTGCCTCAGCGGCAGTCTTCAGCTCTTGGCATGAACGGCAAAAGCACAAGCCGGGTTACACCAAGTTATGAAGCACCAAAAGACGAAGAAGAGGACGCGGATCTCAAAGCAGCTATTGCAGCTAGCCTGCAGGACATGGAGACACAGAAAACGAGGCACGCCCGAGAACTCAAGGAGCAAGCATCCTCATCATCTGCACCGCTGCAGTACCAGCCGAATAACCAATTCGAGCTGACACCCGTGGAAGCTGAAAATATCAATCTGTTTGCTACGTTAGTGGATCGGCTGCAGCACCAGCCGCCTGGTACCATACTGCGGGAGCCTCAGATACAGGAACTGTACGAGAGTATTGGAACTCTGCGTCCAAAGCTGGCGCGTACTTATGGGGAGACAATGAGCAAACATGACACGCTGCTAGACCTGCACTCCAAACTCGCGACAGTCGTGCGTTACTACGATCGCATGTTGGAAGAACGTATGGCAAATGCCTACAATTCAAGCAGGTATGGCGCCGTCCAGCAGCGCCAAACCATGTATCCTCACCTCGCCCCTCAGTCCGGCGTAGAAGGTTACTACCTTGCCAGCCATCCAGCAATCGACGAACCCGCGCACCAGGGTGTGTATTCAGAACGACAGCAGCACTCCGCGCCTTATCCCTCGTTCGATGGGTCACGCATATCATCTTATGAACCGAATCCGCCAGAGTCTTCGTACTATCCAGCTATGCAGCACCCATATCAGCCTCGAGTACCGTCTGTTCCAACGGAGCAGCTGAGCTCGCCTCCACAACAGCCCAATGTGCATCACGGCCAGTCGAATTCCATTTCGCAAGTTTCGGAGTCAGCGGCCAGCTATTACACTGGTGGTGACCAATATCCAGAAGCTCCTATGCAGTCACCGCCCGCATCTTCACAGCAGCAACAGCTACAACAACGAATTCCCCCTCCTGCTCTGCAACGGCAGTCGTCACAGTCCTATTACCAAACGCAAACCCCATTGCCGCAGCAGCAGCCAGTCTTTCCAAGTGCGCCCCAACATGCACTACCCGTGAAAGAAGAGAGCTTGATAGAGCTGTAGAATTAGGGGAAACGCGTAGCTAATCAGTCGTACGCTCGTTGCAGCTAGAGCACGAATTAAACAAACGTTCGTATCAGAAGGCGATAGGCTATATAACGAGGTACCCGCTAGTGCAATACTTTAGGGGCTGTTTAATAGTATGAAATCGAAGTTGCTATAGTATGTTTATTATAGTTCGTAGCTCTATTAAATACTTGAAAATTGAACTATAGCTATAAATATAGCTATTAAACGCTTTTTATAATTAATAGGAGGCAATTATATATAGTAGGAGCAAAAGTTCTAAATAGTAGGAGGTTAAGTTTGCCTAAGGTACGCGTATATATATTGCGCTATATCTATTATATTGTGTCTATCGTATAGTGTCTATTATACAGTGTCTATTATACAGTGTTATATAGTGTCTATTATATAGTGTCTATTATATATAGTGTCTATTATATATAGTGTCTATTGTATAGTGTCTATTATACAGTGTCTATTATACAGTGTCTTATATATAGTGTCTTATATACAGTATCGATTATATATAGTATCAATTAC